GAAAACTTCATTTTAGTCATTACAGTTAAACATGTCATATCAGACAAATTGAACAGTGGATCAAATAACATAATTAATCAACAGTAAAAACATTTACAGAGCGCACAATATATCTAATTATCTATTCATAATATGGTGTGTGCTACTGATGTCGACAGATATAAGTAGTACGTATCATCAATCGAAAAAGGAATGCCCCGTGGTAGAAGGTTAAAAAGATCGAGGAAAAGAGAACGAGAACGGTGAATGATTGGTGTGGAAACGAAGGAATAATGATGTCTGAGACGATTGATTGACATTTTGCAAATGAGATATTAACTGTATGGTTCACAGATTTTACTAAGAAGTTCTGTAATTTTGTGTTCAAATACATTTGGTTGTCCCCGCTGGTGTTCTCGCTCACTACAATAAGACAAGTGTGTTAGATTTCAAATTAAAAACAGAAATATAAATTGAATCAATGTCATCATTAGAAATTGTGTGAGTCCAAAGAACGAGAAGCTATAATATCGGCTAAATAATTTACTCAATTTACCAAAATCTACTTATCTTACAGCCACATATTTCTGTTCATTCTATAAAACAATACAACCAGTGCTTTGTGGATTTTTAGGCATTTTCAGCTTATACACTTTATACATATTTCGATCTACTAGTCACTTAAAGTTAGACTATCATGGAAAACGTGAAAGCACTGAACGGCCTTTTCGTCCTATTGTGGGACTCAGTAGTGCGCATCCCTGGTCCCGCCTCGCGAGATTTGAACACAGAACCTATCGATGTCTTTTTCCTTGTTGAAAAGATTTATCACGCTCCTAATGTCATTAATCAGCTTCTGTCTGATAACCCCATTAGCAAAGAGAGATGACATGGTCAGGTAAATTCCCAGAGTAGTAGAGATAGTAAAAGTATGGGCGATAATAGTTGTATCCGTAAAAGATTAAATGAATGGTTGCATCCGGGAATTGTTTATGGACTTTTATATATATATATTCTTTGAAGGTAACTAGATTGTATACATTTACATTTTTTTTTACATATGTCTTCATTTGACTTATTAGGTACAATAATATGATTTACTGTTTTGTGTTTATTCACGATCTATTAGTTATCGTCTCTCATATTCACAGCCACTTTTGGCTTGATCTGGTATAACTGTCATTTTTCGTTACATGGTGTTATGAGGTCTAGTCTGCCTGTATATAAACTATGTGGATTATCCATATAGTAGAGGCGAATATTGTTCTCTGGTCTCAACGGGTAGGGCTAGGTGAGAAACTACAATATTGAGGACCAATGAGGATTCAGAGTTGACGCAAGACTGATAGTGCGGTTGAGATATCAATGTTTTAACACAGGAACTAGGTCATATAAGTCAGTATTCTGATTGGCAATTTCTTCAGTGGCATAAGTCATCACAATTGACATAGCAAAAACAATAATGCTAGCAGTGAAAATGGCACTCTCCGGAAAAATTGCATTTACCATTACAGCAGCAGATGATAACTTCTCAACAGTAACTCGTGGAAGCAGTTTATATATTATATATATATAGGCAAACTAAACATATGGGATGTACCAGTGAGCGAAATATGCACGATAAAAATTCCAAATAGTAACCATGTAGACCTAAACCATGTAGTCTACACAACTTATCATGGGTTATTCCGATTGTCAGTGATTTTCTCGACTGATGTTGTGCTTTGATTTGGAACCCTAGCTTTCTTCCACTCCTAAACCAGATAACACCGCTCCTCGAGGTACGCGGTGGTTGGGCATACGTAATACATTTCCCAACCACCTTAATCGATGAAGATTTACTACCTCATCAATTGATTTACCATACTTAGTACCATTTTCTTAACTTGGGGATTACCAACTCCGTGGTCCCAAAACACATGAGCACTACTTCGAAGAATCCCCGAAAATCGCCCTTTCTTGATGACCATGTTCCACACGCATGGAGTAGAACGCACTTCTGCACAACAAACTCTTCCTTTGGTTGGTAGACTGATATCTGATATACCCCGTAAGTGACGCAAGTTGGTAAAAGCCAGTCGAGCTTTCTGAATCCGTGCGGAGATTTCATCAAACACCAGACCTTCAGGACTGATGAGAATCTTAAGACAAGTGAGGCAGTCGGTGATTTCAACTACTTCATTCCTTGTCACTAATTCAGGCACTGACGTAAGTCAACTCTGAAGTAACATTTTAAATTTGGAGGGAGACAACTGCATCAAAAACATGCTTGCTTTGTTGCTTAAGTTAATCAAGAGACTGAATTTTTTCAGCGTCTTCAACAAACAGAGCTATATCATCTGAGTACTCTAAGTCAACAAGTGAGTCTTTTGGTAGAAGATCGATCTTTGATGAGTCAGACGATGAAAGTGTTATCTCTCATAGCATTTTTATGATCAAGTTAAATAAAAATGGACAAAGTGAAGGACTCTAACGAACACTTGGAATAAATAATTCCGACTACACTTTGCCATAAGCTCTTACTCGACTATTAGTGTTCGAGTAGAGGGCCTGTACAACGTTAATGTACTTCGTTGGCACGTCTTCCAGTGACTGACTGCCATATAACCTCACGAGTCGAATGGTGCTCTAAGGATAAAGAATACAACTACTATCGGATATCAAAAGTATGTTTATGTTCCAGAGTCTGCTCTACCTCGCTTTAGGTTACTTATAGCCTTTTCAATTTCGCCAAGAGTTGGGGGACTAGCATCATTTTGCCATTAAGGTTGCTTAGAGATAGCGGATAACTGAGATACTTTCACTAACAATCGGATTTTAATACCCGTTTCCTTGGTCAGACTGATCAGTTGTTTACTGTTACTAATCATCATTGTCTTCTCCACCATTTCTACATTCTTAACTTACCACTCCCTACGATTATTAAGTAAAATTTTTATGAGCCCATGTTTAAGCCGCATCACGATGAAATCCACTGGTTTTACTTAACCATTTGGTTTAATTTACGAGTAGATGCCACTGATGCTTTCACGGCTTTTCGATACTATGCTAAGTTACCTCGGGGTGAATATTATTTTCATGGTCGACTAATTCCTACAGTTGCTCCTGAAATGTATTTTTAACGTTTTCGTTATTAATTTGGGGTATAAGGGATTTTCTTGTTGTCCAGTAAGATGCCAACAAATAAATGCTCGAACTGTGGCATGATCCGAGTCTTAACATGTACTCCAGAATGAAAAAAGTATTGTACCGAGCCTCTCCGACGATTACTGATGAAAATATGATCTTTTCAGACCATTTCTGAGCCGATTGTGGAGTTTCTTCACTAAGCTGCAACACCATAAGGTCCGCCTAAACGCCTTTACGATGTTTTGTCAGAAGACCAGGAATAAAATTTCATGAATCCAAAGCACTAGCATTCGTGGAGCGTGATGAAGATATACGAAAAGGGTTAGTGATTGGGATGAAAGAATTATTAAGAAGCGAATGAGTGATTTGGTCGTGAAAGATGGTCTCAGGTGCTGTTAGAGATATGTGATTGTCACGTCATGAAATGATATTTCTTCTTCAAAGATCTGACAAAAAGTTGAATTAGTTGTGGTCACGGCGACCTGAGAGTATGACCACAGAACCTAAGGAACAGCAGCTTGAGGCCAGTTACGCATGAAATTTTTTGGACCTTTTTAACGTGCTAGGTCCGCACTTCAATAAAATTTACCACCGGAGACGAAAACCCGAGGTAAGGTGAGCTGTAATATTTCTAGGGTTGACCCTGTTCTTCCGCTGCAGGTACTGCTTGTTCGAGGGAAACATTTTACCACTGTCGAACCCCTCAACAGTCAGCAGTACGACGTTGCTCTCGAACCTTTAGCAGCTTATTTTAGTCTCACCATTCTCAAACCAATCTGCCTGGCATGGTAGGACCTGAAGGAGCTTGTGTTACAGCCACTATAACTAGGTTGAGTCATAACGATAAGCTAGCCCGACCATCACGTCAAGGTAGCAACTACGGTTGTTGCATTTACAATACGGATGAATTTGGGTTCGCAAGAAGTTAAACTTAGTTAGTACTGCAATCTAATTATGGGATACTAGTTAGCACTAACATATTAGTGAAAATATAACATTGAAGTAATCTCAAAACTGGTAATCATTCGAGATATGACAAATTTTGATGAAATTCTTAGTCGCAAAGTGACATTTGATATATGTCGCCACTAAAAATTATTTTGATCAAATATTAAGTTGTAAAAACTAGACTACTCTAATGCAGACAATTCTTTTATAAAAATGTAGCTATCTAAGAAAGTGTGTGAGTACATTCAAAGGGATGATTGGCAAATATTTACCAATCCCTATTCATTACCTACTCTGTTGTATGATGTAAATAAGAATTGAACCTGAATGCACAGAAATCAATTGACGAGACTGTTGATTATTAATAACAATTATATTTGGCTCTTCATAGTGTTACAAGTGGCAGATATATTACGAAACTGGAACTATTTTATCTGTTGCCTCGAAATTACAACTAGCGAAATCTCTAAATTGATTATTTCAAAATATATTACTAAAGTATTATAAAGCAATTTCTAGTCCAAACAACTATCGTCTTCAGTCAGTGAATAACAAACACAACTCTATAGATAAAAATACTTCATTTTATTTCAAACAAGCTCGTAAAAAATAAGGTAAATGATAAAAAGAGATCAAAAAATAATATATTATCTAATTCTATGAGTAATAGACTAATTTGTAATCAGTTGACCGGTAAGAAAATTAACGTATAATAATGTTAATTAAACCAGGTTATACATTTCAGTACAGTGAAATCGTATTTATACACGGCCAAATATGTATATATATAATTATAAGAAATGAATTATGATGATGCTAACAATCTAAATCTCATAGGATGAAACAGTCAAACAAATAAACAAACACAATAGTTACGCAATGCATAAATAACCGAACAATATTCGAAAATATATATATATATATATATATATATATATATATATATATATATATATATATATATATATGAAACAACAATTGTCTGAATGTTCAATTGATTAATCAACCATTTAAACTAACCAAGTAGTCCATCGACAAAGGAGATAAAAATATACACACCACTCATTAATTATGCAAACGTATATAAGAGAATTAAATCAACTGATAACGGTTTAATTTTTTTATTATTTTCAGTAGGAAAAAAAGGATAATAAAAATAAGTGAGAGAAAAAATAACCCAGTATTTGAAACTTATTGTGCAAAAATAAAATGGTTTAGAAGAACAAATGAAAACAGGATATATATATATACTGCTTAAGCATGAGATTTGTGCATACATGATAAATCACAATCCGTATGCACTTCAACATGAGTAATCATTACTGAAGGTGACCGACTATCATTGATCTCATTATTTGGTCCAGAATCAGTGTCACTTTCACTACACTGTTTACCTGATGAAAAAATACAACAAAATAGAAAGGATAAAGAAGATATTTCATGGAAATAATATAAAGTAACTTTGAAAAGCCTTATGTGTTATGAAGCTAGAAATCATCAAAATGAATGTGTGATAACTTGTGATAGCTAAGCTGAATTAAGGATTAGAGCAGAATTTATTATTCAAACTAATGAACTATCATTGTCAAAAAAGAATATGGATGTTATTCGTGAAGAACAATGTTTGTATATAGCATGCATATACCATGAAGGCAGTAAATAGTGAAACAACATAGCGCTAAGTAGGTTATTAAGTTTATTAGTGGATCAAATACAGTTTATATTATGAAGTGATATTGAAGTGTATGCTACTTATGTCAGTATTGCTATGGAGGTCTGCATACCGGCGGACTCAATGTTTCAACGGGGAGCGTGGCACAGATTACAGCAAAGGTGGCACGGCGAGCAGAACAACCGCAAAAGCGAATGTTTAAAGGGTGAACGAGTGTGGTGTATGCTACTTATATCTGTCGACATAAGTAGTATGTAACACCAATCGGAAGTGAAAAACCTGGCAGCAGAAGGTTAAGAAGATCGAGTTGAGGAAAACAAAAAGGGAAATAGGAAGGAATTGTGGATTGGAAGAATCATACATAATGTGAAGGACAACTGATATATGATTTGCAAATGAAGTATCTTATGTATGGTTCTCATATTTTAAGATGCTTTGTAATTTCGTACCAAATAGTGGATTGGTCTTCCTCAGCCGAGTGTTCATTCATTACAATATCTGCTAGTGAACCAGTGAAAGCAAAGAATCTAACGGTAAGAACTAATATTGTAACTAGTTTAATAGTTCTCAGATTCAATATTGAATAAAATATTATTATTTCATTTATACCACACAATTACCATACTACTACATAATTGGGGATGATCTCATATATCTAAAGGAAACAGCTGTCAGGCACTATATGATTTTTATTTAGTGCTAAATCGACTGCAGGTCCAATCAAAGAAAGGTGATGAAAACATTTCTTCAGTTATAGAACTAGATGAAGTTTAATTAATCCATAAAAAATATGTAGCAGTGAGGAAAATAGTATGTTGATGCCAAAATACTCATAGTGGTCGAATTACAATGACAAACTAACATTATCTAGAAAGCCAATAAACAGTAAGAAACAGCGAACAGATGTCTCATATCAACAATGACTTATCTGTAGTAAGTAGACACTACTTCCCGTGCGATCGAAACCAAGTTTATGAAGAAATGTTATTCAATCGTTTAGTATGTGACATCGAGTGATCAAAATACAATCTTGGTACAAAATTACCTTTTGACGGGACTGGTAACTCCATAGGTTGGGGCCTTCCAAAGAAACATCGAGAAATCCAACTCGACGTAGATACAGACTCAAAATAAAAGTAGTTTTATGAAAAAGATTTTAAATATTTTAAGTGTAATTTCTATTACAATTCTCTTCGAACCGGTAAATGTTTAGAAACAAGAATTCTTATTTTGATTTTACATCAATCCATAAAAATAAGATTAAGGATGAAAGTAATTAAGAATTACAGTATTACCTAGTAGTATAAAGATCGGTTTATACAAGAATTGAATGGAATTTATTTATTTTACATTCTAGGACAATTCGTAGAACGAATGAAGAAAATGGTTTAAGTAAGAAATACTTTCGCATAAACAACAAGAACGGTGTTTTTCACATGAATTATTCAACTAAATAATTAACATCAAGTGATCGAGAAAAGAAAAAAAAGAACTTTTACCATTGATTTTAAATCAATACATTGTTAAAATGTTTCACATGTTTGTGTAATGAACAAATCTTAACACATACAACCATTGTTTTCAGTAAAATACATTAAACTGTGATATATGGAATTGTATGTATGGGTAATATAATAATTCATGATCAATTTAAAGATAAGACACTTAGATTTTTTTTAAACGACCACCTATCAGTAGTACAAACACGTTATTAATATATGATCCCTGAACAATTCTTGACTCATGAAAGATGAGATGTTTATGAATTTAACGAAAGATAACATTTACATTCACTGATTCTGATGTCACAACTAGCTCAAATCAACGGGGCATCTATCTTTTTAAACTGTGAGAATAAATTATCTTGTTTTACATACATTTTAACTAAATAATTATGTACGTAAACCATGTGCTTTCATATAAAAAAACTTGAAACCTCTTAAGATACTTAGAAATATCACAACATTTGGTCTATTTTCTTTCGTGTTTACTAATTGAGGAAGTAATAGACGTTTACTTCAAAACTTTAACATTAAATACAGTATACGAAAAAAATATTTTAGAAGCATAAATATTCGGAGAACTTTGCGTGTGATGATTGACAGCTAATCACTGTTAAAAATTTTTATAAAAACATATTCTTGAACATTACCAAGTTAAGTGGGTACAAAACAACAACTTATCCCAATACTGAATATTCTATGCTGAGATTTGTATTATATAAATAAATACATGTATTGACTCAAGAGAGTATTTCACTGTTATTATCCCATGAATAATACAAGTCAAATGAACAAAATGATAAATATGTGAGATGGAAGGGTATTGTGAATCGCGAGTTGGCTACTCTAAATTCTACCAATTGACAAGCTTCAGATATCCCAGTTCGACCCCAATACTGTTCCCAATCTCCACTATATCAGAACACGAACCGTAGATGAAAATCGTTTATGGGGTCAGGAGCAGCAGAATAATGATTTACAAACAAATGCATATTTATACAGTTAGGATTAATATAAATATTGACCAACAGAAAGATGACACGTTAATTAATATTGACCAATAGGAAAATGACACGCGAAATAAATATTGATCAGTAGGGAAACGACCAATAGGGAAATGACACCATTTAACGTTCAAGGGTAGCATTAGACTTAACCGGATAATTGTTTCTGGGATATTCTTCTGAGTATCCCAACAAAGGGTTTACTCAGTTTTCTTATTGATGTCTTAAGTTGTTCCTAATTACGAAATATGACATCGAACCTGAGATTTATCTTTTGAGATCACTGAGCAAAGTTCAACCCAAAATTTTCCCTCAAAAACAAAAAAAATTAACCTTTTACGAGGGATTCAGCGACAATCTGAGAACATTCAGGTTGTAATTCCACGGCTGTATTAACATTATTAGTTCCCTGTTCATAGTCGGATGAATTATGACCTCTGGAATAAGAACTTGATACATTTGTCAGAAAGCTTCCCAGGGTTTCACGAATTGAGGTAGTCATCTTCATTCGCCTAAGTGATGAAGCACTTGATTGTTCAACAGAAGCATTAATAAGCGGAGTATGTTCATCTGAATGGACGTTCCCACTGTAGAAACTTAACTGAGGTGATGAAGTAGTATCTTCTGAATCAGAATCTTCTTCGAAAGACGAATCATCCAAAAGTGGAGCTTCAGATGTAGTGGCATATGCAGAAGCGCGTCTATATCTTGTAGAAGTTGAAATGTAGACTCTAGGACGATTGTGAACTTTCTTCTTACATATAGGACAAAAACCACGACGTTTTAAAAGCCACGGATCTACACATTTACTGTGGTAAGCTTTAAAAAGAATAGGACGGTTTTAAAGTAAATGAACAGAAATTTCAAATGCTATTAATGCGTTAACTAGTAAACAAATATTAGTAACTTGGTAATGAATGGAAATCTGTTGACCAAATTTATAATTGACGAACAAAGCACTCATATTCACAACTTCCCTAACGACTATACAGAAACATCTAACACCATTTTCAGTGGGTAGTGATCTTTTTAATACAGGGACTATTCGTAGAAACATTTCTATCAGTAATTGAGATATCAGATGGAAGATGAGAAATCGTGTTTAGTCTAGATCTATAATAAGTCAATGGTCACGCGAAAAGCTCAGTAATAACCACTTTTATTTTAGAGCTTTGACTATTTAGATTTTATGCTTGAAGTGAGGATGAAAATACTCATTGATTAGAATACACTAACGAGTGGAAGTTTTAGGCACAACGTTTCCTGATAATCAAACATTACTACTTGCCAAAATACTGCCAACTACAACTACAGTTTTACATCGAGAAGCTTCAAAAGCGTGAAGATATTTGGAACTAGAATTTGAGATTAAAACTGAAACTTCTCGACATCTGTACAAAAAATATTGTAGACAAAAATTTTCACGGATCATACTTTAAAAGGTGCACAAATCATGATTACAGTGAACAACGTATACTTAAACAGGAGTAAACAAAATGCCGTTATGGCTCTAAAAACTACTTAGTAATAATGTAGAGAATTATTTGTCGCGCTACGAATCAAGTCTTACAAAGCAACCGAATTCATATTACAGTGATTATAGCCCGCCTGCCCCCAAATGCCCTAGTACAGCCGAGAGTGGGGAGAGTCTGCTCTCCCTCACGAAATGCTCTCACACAGCCACGCGTATACAACATCCGCCAAGGAAGTCTTACTCACTGCCTTCTCAGTCAGTCAGTAACAACGTAGAACTTCGTACGTACGTACATCAGTTCGAGTTGCCACACCACATTAGCACAGAGATGCACTTGTCGATTCAAATCCCGTAGTGGTAGAGGTAATAAGAGTATAAGCAGTAATCGGGAAGATTAGGGTTTGGAGATGTTATTTAAAGAGTATAATCCAGTGAAATAAATTTGGAAAGAGGAAAAAAGGGACATGAAGAATTTAGAAGATTAGAATTTGGGAGAACACATAGAGTGGATGCATCTGCGCAATTGCAAACGATTTTGAGCCATGTCATTCAGGGTCTCTAACCATCGGTTGCTACCATCTCACTGCCTTCTCGTGGCAGGGCTGTTGGTTACAAAATTGAGAGGACGAAAAGCGAATGTCCGGCGCTTGAACCGGGCCGGTGGACGCGGTGAGTCCAGCAAGGGGAGTCGGGAAACCCTGATTTCAAACCAATGTCGCACATAGGCTCCAGTATCCTGAAGGAAATAATGGCGTATGAACCAATAGTTGGTCACCGGCTACTATGGGACTGCATCTCCTCACGACGCTCTACTGCCTAGTAGGTCAGACCCGGGGTTCGGGGTGTGGCCTCCTAAGAAAACCATCCGCTTTGGTCTGAGTACCCGAGCAGTATCACAGCCCACACGCAAATAGAATGAAATGACGATATCTACTGAAAACACTACTCACGCTTCGATTAACAGTCAAAAAATTCACATTATTATTATTATTATTATTATTATTATTATTATTATTATTATTATTATTATCTTTTACCACGTCACTTATTCACTCTTTTATTCCCACCTTGTGTATCCTTATTTTTCAACTTATGCAGCAGCTCGCTCATGGTAGAAACTTTGTTCTATCTAAACGATCTCGAATCACTGCCTGGTCGGAAATTGAATGTTACCACCGAATACGAATACTGAAGCAGTTTTTCTGAAACCATGTGCACCATTCAAACTAGCTGCCTTCAACATTCGCACATTAATGCAGATCAGACAAGAGATAGGGCTGGCTGTGTCTTAAGAAAGTCTTAATATCGACGTTTGTTGTCCGTCCTAGACACATATTGAAGACTCTGGTGAAGTACTACAAGATCGCTCTCTATCTGTCGCTTCAAAGGGCTTGTTTTGCGTGCGTTTATCCGGGGACCCTGTAGCAACTTCGTCTGGTCTTGTTGGCGTTGGTGTCGCAGTAAGCGCTAGAGCTGAGGCAGCACTAATCGATTGGATCCACATTAACAGTCGGTTATGTGCTGTTAGATTAATAATAGATAATAAATGAAATAAGTGACCGCGTTGCTTTCGTTGAAAGTACACAGAAAAGCTAAGATAAGTATCGGTACAGAAGTACAGATGGAGGTGAGATTCTGGTTAGAGGACTAACTGAGTTGCTTTGAAAGGGTTGAGGAAGAGGTAGTGTTATAATATCGTCTCCATCCTGGAAAGGACCAAAGTAATCTGCGCAATTGCTATCGGAGGATAAGTCCACTCTCAGTTAGATCCAAACTACTGGCTTCTGTCACACTCCGCGACTCTGTATCAAATGATCGTTGTCTCCATAAGCTTGTTTCCACCCAGTGATAACAGGTTAGTAATACTGACCCTTGGCAATGTATGTTCAAGTGCAATGACCATAACTAAATTAATGTCACTATATTGAAACACTGAGTTTGCTAGCTTGAACATGTTTTACGAATATCACTACACAGGTTTCCAAAGTGTGCATTATATGCCCGAGCTGAGTCAGGGTTGGAAAAGTGGGGTAGACAGTTTCTAAACTGCTGCCGTGGTATGAAAGCTGTATATGACTGGCATTTTTCAAGCTACCATAGAGATGATAGAATTTAATGACTTGAGACGTTATCAGACACGGGTTAGGGTAGAAGCCACTGACGATTCTGTTGTATTTCTTATATTCCTCTTGAAAGTGAGAGGAATGCCTTTAATTGAAAGAACTTTTATTTGCAACTTTAGTTAATTGTATTTCTTCTTTAGTCATCGTATTCCCCTTCTTTTCTTTAATTTTCTCGAGATGTCATCGCTTTATTTTTGTGACCAACATGTTTTTATAATTCATAGTTGTAAAGAAGAAAAATAACATGATACATTTTATGTATTAAGAAAAGAAGCTATGAAAAGATGCAATTTCTCATGTAAATGATTATTCACTTACCATGCCCACATGGTAATACTCTCAATTTATCACCATCTTTATAATCTTCTAAACAAATTGCACAAGTTTCAAATTCACTGGAGTCTAGAAAAATTCATCATAATAAACGGGAAAGTACTGAGGCAGTAAGAAGGGTAAAAACTCAAATGTGTAAGCAACAAAATAATTACTTTTATAACTGACGGTGAATAGTAAAATAAAATCCTACATAAAGAATGTAAAGAAAGTGAATGTATGCTCTATAACGAAAAAATTCTAGTTTCACAATAGTCGTATTTATTCGGTCTTGGATAATTTAAATGAACCGATGCGAATGAATATCAGTAGTTATGCTAATCAGTAAAATGATTACAGTACACCGAAGTTAACAGTAGGATGGTTTCATTTTTTGCTTCCCAAATTCATGTATCTATGAATATGAATAAAAGTTCCCTTATCAACAGCGCCTCAAAATCACCATCCAATGTTTGCTATGCTAAACTACTATCAAGTAAGCTACGTTGCCTACTGCACAATAAAAGCTTAACGATTTTATACATTTTTCACTAATCAAATATTATAACAGAAGCAAGGTTGAATATTTTATATTGATTAATTCCATAACGAAAAACACTGCATTTAGTAGGTTTATTCACAAAATCTACATGTAGAAAACTAGCCTAAAATGTCGATATTTAATTAGGCGACTTCTACTTACAAACTTTTATGCTTTTAAAAAGGAAAATTGATAAATATGTAAAAACGTATATAAAAAGTTTTACGGGGAATTAACATAGAAGGTTATATAGATCTGAACTAATTACAAAATAAGTTGGTAGGTGTAGAAAACCAAAGTGACTGGATAATGGTTCTGAAAGGTGGAATACTAAAAGCATGGTGAATTAGTATTTATCGAAAAACATATCTCCTGTAACACGATAAGAACTATCAACTGGCCTATTAGGCATAATAAAAACATACAGTTGAAGAGATTTTATGAAAACATTAATGACGTTGTACTCCATTCTATAATTAGTGATTTCACAAACCTTCCAAAGTTTTGGAGGTTAACATTACTTAAATAAAGGTTGTACTTATTACTTATGCATTAAGTTGATTAAATATTTATTTATCAATCCAGACAATTAGTAACCTCCATATTTTGTAACTGAATAATTTGCTTGAAAAAAAGACTCGATAAATAAGTTCCGCTTAATGAAATTGCAGACTCTGAAAAGATTGAATATAAAAACAAATTTCTTGTTAGTTATGCCCAAAACTAGAGGAATGACAATCTTGTTTTAATTCAGACGTCTATCCCACTGTTTAACCCTAATGCAGCAAATATTCGTTTCTATTATTGTACGAAAAAACCCAAGATGTAGCCGACTTCTAACAGTATCACCAAGTGAATAAATAACGTAGGTGGGTTGCTTTTCATACATACAAACATCAACAGAATAACTTACCTTTAACAAATAAAGTTTCAGGTATTTTACGTAACTCTTTTACTGGTAAGCAATAACGATATCTTCTCCGGTATCGATTCAAAAGCCGAATCCCATATGCCACACTCAATGCGACTACAGATATCAGCAGACATGTTATGAGTGGAATAAGATACAACACGATACTTCGGCGATGAGCAGGTAGTATTTCAACAAAATAACTACAAATACATCAAAAATACGAACTGCATACTTATTGATTTAATCCACAGATAGAATGGTGAGAGAGTAAAGTGTAAACAAAATAAGTCATTATCCATTAGAATCTTGAAACATTTAGGAAAAGTAACATATAGTTATATTGGGACCTAGTGGCTGAGTGTCAAGTGTCATACCATCAAACCGATGTTCCTTATCAGTAGAAATTTAGGTTTATTTTTCGTATGATGCTAGTACCTAATAAAATATCTAGTGGTATTCAGTAATAAATCTTGCTAACTGCTACAAACACTGTGATAGGCTAATTAATGCTTCACAGACTACTCTGCCTTGCTTGGTTCAGTTGCTTCCTGATATCCGAAGTAACTGGATAGATTTGACAGCTTCCTTCAGAAGAAACTATGGTTGAGTGTTTTATCAAGAAAATTGTCGAGCTCCCGTTATATGGATCAACTGCCATAAGAAATGTTTTGCTGTAAAGAGACTCAAAAAGATCTAGCCAAATATGGCTACAGTGACTACAGTACTGATTAGGATAACAGTTGTATCTTTCACGATACAGTATGAACAATGCATGTGGTCTTGTAAAAAAGCATTCGATCGACTTATAGTTTGACGTGGTGTATTTCAGGAAATGCTTTTTGATTAAGTTGTATTTTTTGAACTGGATGGTCTATCATTGTCAGTCAACATAAGACAGGATATATATATGCACTGGTCCAAGTTGCCACACCTCATCAGCACAACAAGATGAACACCAAATTCACTAAAGTAGTTACTTTAATGATGGTAAAAAAGATTGGATATAAGGGTATAATACAGGGAAAAAGAATTAATTCGTAGAAAGGTATAAAGCAATTTTTATCTCACAGTTTGAAGGAAAACAAAGAGTGTATGCACCTACAACATTGCGATCGATTTTAATCCATGTCACCCACAGTCTCTAATCACTAGTTGCGATAGTCACGCGGACCCCAATCAAGTAGTCTGCATCTATCAACATGACTTAGACCAGTAGTAACTAGTCAGCACTGCGCACCGTGGTAATCGCTGGTTGCGCATGTGTTAGATCTGGCCAAACCATCTCAGTCAATGAAGATTTACAAACTCATCAACTGATTACCATCAATATCTAATACATTGCATCTAACCTCACTATTGCTCAGTGATCCCAGCAGATTTGAGGAGTATTTATAAGACTTCTGTGATCAAATACCAGTAACTTATGAGTATCCTCTACCCTTAATGGCCACGTTTCGAAGCCATAAAGTAAAATAGAACGAACTGCTGTGCAATTGTGGTGCGTGCTACTTATATTGATATAAGTAGTATATAACGTGAGTCAAAAGAACGTAATGGCTGGGAGCAGAAGATGGAGAAGATCAAGAAAAGAAGAGCGAGAAAACAATGGAATTTGTAAGAAATCGCATGAGCAATGAAATGCGAGACAATGGATTGATGTTTGCAACAGCAACAGCCCGGTTTGATATGATAGAATGATATTTTGCAAATTAACGATTTACTATATGGTTTTCCTATTTTACCAAGTAATTCTGTAATTTGTCCTAAATACAATTTGGCTGTCCTCACCCGTGTTCTTCTTTACTACATTTGGTGTCGCTGCCTCCACTGAGGATGAAGATCCCATGGCCGAAGGAGTTTGAGGACGGAGATGTGCTGGGCTTCCTGAAGGAGTTTGAGGCCGTGGCGGAGCTGGTGGGAGTGAAGGAGCCGAAGGCGAAGTTGGTGGTGCTGGGGACGCTGCTGAGAGGCAGGGCGAAGGCGGTGTTTGACAGCCTGGACGGTGCTGGCGGGAAGACCACATGGGAGGCAGTCACGGAGCGGTTGGCAGCGGAGTTTGACAGCCCAGTGGACAGAGAGGACGCGCTGCAGAAGTTCCGGTTGGCGAGGTTGCCGGTCGATGGGGACCCACTGGTGCTGGCTGTGGAGCTTACCAGATTGTTACGCCGTGCGCTGCCGAGTCTGGATGAGGAGTCGGAGGCACAGTTGTTGGCGTCACAGTTTATCGAGAGTGTGCCTGCCACCGTCTCCCAACAGCTGAAACTGGTGAACGCAGCGCAACCGATGGATATCAGTGAACTGGCTAAGGTGACTCGTCAGCTGATGACGCGAACAGTAGCTCCGGTCGGGTGCGGAAAGCAGGAGATGAGTAATGTCGAGAAGAAGATTGAGGAGCTGGAGCGCGAGATTGCAGCAATACGAGTGAACAATAAAAGGAACGATAAATGTTACGCTTGTGGAGGGACAGGACATTGGAAGATAAACTGTCCAACAAGACGAAGACGCAGATATGTTAGACGTTACAACGAGTGTTCTTTCTATCCTAGGAATCTGGGGATTGTTGCGTTAGTAGACAGAGGGGCCGTATATACGAGAGTGAACATAAATGAGCGAGATTTAGTTTGTCTGATCGATACAGGTGCAGCAGTATCGTTAATAGGCAAAGAGCAATGTAAGAGAATCAAGCCATGTACATTAGCTGTCCATACGATAGGAGGCCATATGTTAGAGGTGTTTGGTGTATCTAACAGTATCGTAAAAGTGGGGGATGCGGAGATAAATTTTCCGTTCGTCGTAACCACAAGCTTATCGAGACCGATATTAGGAGCAGATTTCCTAAGAGAAGTAAAAGCGATAGTTGACTTAAGAAGCGGTAAGGTGGTCACGAAATATGGTTCATTGACAATACACGAAAGTAGCGAAGTGGCTGAAATAAGAGTTGCAGCGGATGTCTCGTCAAAGAAACCAAACATTCACGAGTTATGCAAAAAGTATGCGAAACTATTCACTGGAGATGGGGAGCCGTATGGATTTTGTGACAGAGTAAAGCACGAAATACCGATAAAGAACAGTCGAGTAAATATATTTGCAACACGTCGTGTCCCGGTGCATTTAGAGGCCGAGGTAAATCGTCAGGTCCAGGAAATGTTAAAAGAAGGTATAATTGAGGAAGCGGACAGCCCATATAGCTCGCCGGTACTCTTGGTAAAGAAACCAAATGGAAAGTATAGATTTTGTGTCGACTTCAGAGAATTGAATAATATAACAGACCTGAAGCCTTGTGCAATGCCAACAGTGGTGGAAACATTAGATCGGTTACAGAATGCCACGGTGTTTACAGTGCTGGATTTACGGTCAGGTTATTGGCAACTGCCTATAAAAGAGAGTGATCGGAGCAAGACAGCGTTTACTGTACGGGATAAACAGTATCAATTTAAACGAATGCCGTTCGGGTTGGCGGGTGCACCGTTCACGTTCAGAAGATTAATGACACTACTGCTCAAGAATCTAGATAATGTCGAGGTATATGGCGACGACGTAGTTGTGTACAGTCAAACAGAAACAGATCACATCAAACATGTGGAAGCGGTCTTAAAGCGAATTGACGAATTTGGACTTCGGATTAATAAGGACAAGTCGCAGATAGCGAAAAGTAGCGTCACATTGTTGGGACATAAAGTGGGAAATGGAGAAATAAAACCATTGCCGGAGAAAATTCTTACCATAAAAAATATTGCAATACCTAATTCGAAAAGGAAGTTGAGACAGTTCCTGGGAAGAGCGGCGTTCTACAGTCGGTTTGTCAAAAATTTCAACGAAATAGCAGCACCCTTATATAAGTTATTGAGCAGCACCAAGTTTACGTGGACTGAGGCTGCCGAACAAACGTTCAACCGAATCAAAAACATGCTAGACGATCGCCAGATGACGCTTAGACTGCCTGAACCGGGAAGACTGTTTACAGTGGCCACAGACGCGAGTGATCATGGTATAGGTGCTGTGTTGAGTCAGGCTGATAGAGTGGTGGAATACGCGAGTCGCGTCCTCACACCTGCTGAACAGAAGTATTCAACCATCGAAAAGGAGTGTTTAGCGATCGTGTGGGCAGTGGAAAAATGGAGACCATACCTTTTAGGTAGACGATTTCACATTGAGACGGACCATAAACCCCTGCAGTGGTTGAAAACAGCAAGAGACCCCCGAGGGAAGTTGGCGCGATGGATGATACGCCTGCAAGAATACGATTTCAGTATCGGCCACGTTCCAGGAAAAGAAAACGTAATGGCAGATTACTTGTCAAGACCAGATATGGAAGCCGACCTGCCATTAACAGCATACGCGGTGAATAGTTTAGAGGGAGACCCATTAGAACTCGTCCGGCAGCAGAAAGCTGACCCTAACCTTCGAGAGGTAATCAGAGTGATAAAAGAGGGAGCAGACGTAGATAAACGAACAATGGACAAGGAGGTAATAACGCTGCTTCGGCAAAAGGACCGACTGAGAGTGAACTCATATGGAGTGCTGACCTGGCAGGACGATGATGAAAATTGGGTGGCGGTGATCCCGAAAGACTGGCGGCGTAAAGTGATACACGAGTGTCACCAGGTAGCACATACAGGCATCTCAAGAACGACGGACTTACTACGACAAAGTGCATACTGGCCGAGCATGAGAGACGATGTGGCTGAATACGTGTTAACCTGCCAGCAGTGTCAGCTAATGAAAAGCGATCGATACACACAACCGCCATTACAGTCAATCCCAGTAACCGCAGTCGGTGATCTATGGTCGGTTGATGTGATGGGACCGTTTCCACAGACGGCGAGCGGTAACCAGTATCTGTTAGTGATGACGGAACATGCCACACGTTGGGTAGATGCCGTACCCATTGCAGACCAGCGGGCAAGGACAGTGACCGAGGTGGTAATCCGGCATATTGTAGCGTGTCACGGAATACCGAAGATGATATTAACTGACCAGGGTCCCTGTTTTGAAAGTGACGAGTTTAAAGCCCGTTTAAAGCAGTTTGGCATCAAGAGAATACGAACTACACCATATCATCCTCAGACAAACGGGCTTACAGAGAGAAACAATCGGACGTTAAAGGAATGGTTAGCATCAAAAGGAGGAAATTGGGAGAAAGAGTTACCATTGATTTTGCTGGCACATCGTTCCTCAACACAAGGAACAACCAAGAAGTCACCTTTCTTGCTCATGTATGGCAGACAACCACGACTTCCAATGCATAATAAAACCTGGCCACAACAACAGAAGTGGACGACAACAAGGTTAAGAAAAGAGAGGAGAGAGGCAATAAGGAACGTGGAAAAGAAACAAATATCAGACACAAAGAAGGCAGAACAACAGAGGAGAACGTGGAAACCCTTTGCAGTGGGGGACCTAGTAAAGTGTAGAGAACGAAAAAGTACCATAGCGGGGGGAGCAGGGTCGGGGAAGCTGGCTCCAAAATGGGAAGGACCGTATGTAATCACGGAGAGACGCGGCTCGGTCTACACGATCCGGAGAGAAGACAAGCAGAAGCGCGTAAATGCTAGTCAACTACAGAGATGGTTTCAAGATCATCATGGGTGTGAATCACGAAAAGCACCAAAGAACACAGCGGTACGGAGATCAGAAAGACTACGACAGCAACTTGTTAAAAGGGGGGACGAGTGTGGTGCGTGCTACTTATATTGATATAAGTAGTATATAACGTGAGTCAAAAGAACGTAATGGCTGGGAGCAGAAGATGGAGAAGATCAAGAAAAGAAGAGCGAGAAAACAATGGAATTTGTAAGAAATCGCATGAGCAATGAAATGCGAGACAATGGATTGATGTTTGCAACAGCAACAGCCCGGTTTGATATGATAGAATGATATTTTGCAAATTAACGATTTACTATATGGTTTTCCTATTTTACCAAGTAATTCTGTAATTTGTCCTAAATACAATTTGGCTGTCCTCACCCGTGTTCTTCTTTACTACACAATATACTCGTCCTTTAATTGATAAACGGATATCTCGTTTTCACTACAGGTGACGTAAGATGGGAAATATCAAACTCAGACAATGAGAACGTTGTTTTCACCAGTATGTCTATGATGAAGTCGAACGAAAATGGAGATAGTGGACAGCAGACGGTCACCATTATTTGTATGGTGAGCCGGAACACTAAAAACGTCCATCTAAATGTATTTCTGCTTGGTTCAAGCTATCAACTTGGGCATTAAAGTCACCTGCTACGAATACTATGCCTGAGTGTTTAGCTTTTTGAAGAAGTTCAGAAAGCTTTTTGTAAAACCCACCTTTTACTTCATCCTGGCTGCAGTCAGGGGGAGAGTAGGCAGAAATTATTAAAACGCAACGTCTGTCCCTATCCTTCTGACTTCTTACGGAGCCGTTTATCCGAACAGCACATGGACGACTGATAACGGAAATCCATATCGATAGTGTTGTTCTACCCTCGTCCTTAGTGCTATGCCTACACCTGTCAGTTCATGAGAACTAGCCATCGGATCGCCAGATACACGAAGGATGTACGTCGTCGGTCCTCCGTTTTGGCGAGATTAGGTCAAGTGAATGACCACACTAGGATCCTGTATGCGTGGTTTGGGGAGTGTACGTCAATCGAATGAGATTCTGGGGTCTTAGCGGAGGCCTGCTGGCCTGTGAGAGGTATGAGGGCGGTTATAAATTCCTGATTGCCCATACCGTGAAAGGGTTCTTCTACAGGTACCCGAAAGTGAAATCGGGTTCGAGTTATTCTTAGTGACCTGAGAGCGTGACCGCAGTGCCCAAGGGACAACTGCTAGAGACCGGCTGCACACGACCATTTTGTGGACTATTTTCGTGTCAGTTCCGTACTTGTTGAGACCTTACCGCTGGAGACGGAAATCCGTAGGATAATGCGAGGTGCGCATTTTTTGCACCGACCTTTTTCAACTTCACCCTTCCTTTGTGGGAAGGCAGCATATCTATTATGATGGTTGTCCGAGAGAGACACCTCATGGCCGTCATACCTCTGTACAGCCAGCAGTACGAATTCTCCCTTAGTTTTGTTACTTTTGGTCTTGCCGCTTTTTAGCTGACCTGTCTGGCATGGTAGGGCCCTGAGGAACGATTGCTCCATCCAGTATAGCCCGATTGATTCATCACGATAGGAAAACTCGATTACACTGTCACGGTAGCGTAACGATTCTTTTTCAGAACCATCGTCACGAACTTTCGATAAAAGTAATCCAATAAAATTTCTTCACAATAGAATAGCACATTGCTTTGTCGACAATAGATTTGACTCGTTGCTGTCAATACCTATCATATGATTTTCCTTACACTTATCTGGAATGTGTCCTCACTGATCTGGCCACTTGTTAGTATGAAACCGTTTAGTAGTTGTAGGTAACCAAGTAGGAATGTTGGTGTACCACAGATTCATGTAATCGAACTGCATGTGAAATCCTAACTGTTACATGCTAGTGCAATAAGTAATTATAAACGATTTTTCACACCTAGGCAATTTACCTACTAAATAACTATCAAATACAAATTTGTAGGAAAGTTGAAAGCTACTCAAAACCTAAATACTTTTGCACTACTTTTCGAGTTAAAAACAAATTTGAGGAGTATAATACCTCCCGTAAGAGTACTAACACAGAAAGTTTGATAATTTTCATGAGACTTCTAGTCTAACCTATAAATCTAATAAGCGTTAGTGAAGTAAGTAGTAAGTAATCTGCTTTAATTAAACGAAAAGTCCTCCAAACCAAAATTTCACATGTCAGAAATAGTCACCAAACAGATATATGAACGAGTACTAAATGGAAAGGCAAAGTAAACCTCTTTAAACGGAAAAGCAAGTCGGAATGTATCAGCTTTACTCGCCTGCAAATAAAGCACCTATAAAATAGATTCAAGAAATATGAAGCTTCGAATCCATAATTAATAAACTGACATACAACTTACTGTGGCACGCAGTACTTATTTAGTAGGAGCTTGCCGTCAGACAAACCAACCATTACGACAGGAATACTGACATTTGTGGCTACCAACGAAAAGATGAGAGGTGAGAAACCTTACACGAATTGTAGCCCATTGGGAAAGTACTGTCGTCCACATCATTGAAAATAACAGTTGCAATATATCCACCTCTTTCGGCTGCTAAAGCCTTATCTACAAAAGAGCAGTCTCCACGTTTGATGAGTGAGATGTAAGGAAGAGTTGAATTGTGATCATCTTTAGGTTTGGGAATTTGGTCCACACAGCCTTTTAGTGGTTTGGATGCATAAATTCGTCCCTGCAAATGTGGAAAGAACTAAACCAAGCCAACCAGTATTAAGGACTCCTGAGAAACTGCTCCACCAAAAAGTGCTTCCGAATCCTCAAACTCGTCAACAATTCCTGATGAGAGGTCTTTCTAAAACTACTAAGTACAAAACACTGTGACATACAACCAGCAAAACTGCCAGGACATTTGCGTCCAACAAAATGTACGCAAGCAAGGTATAAATCAACGCTTTCATTACATTTGGTTTTACTGGAGATAACTCCTCGACCAAATCGAATGGTAACCCATTGAAATCATACAGTTGCGCTTATATTAAATCAAGCGCTGATCATAAATTAAGGTTCCAATGTATTTCCGGTATTATTTATCTTTATGACGAGTTATTTCAAACTAGGATTTTTCGAATGTAATTAAACATTTTTGTGTGTTCGTTGATTTTTTTTGCAAGTTAATTTCACTTGCAAAATAAAGCTGTAAAAATGAGGTAATAGATAGAAATAATGGGCTTAAACATTTTAAGACTATTAGAATTAGTGTTGTATCCTCGAATGTGACGTAGCGATATTTATACTAAACATGTTTCAACGGCTAGAGAAATATTTCTGAACCCTACACATATTACTTGTCACGCTAAACACAGCCATGAATTAGTAGGCTTATGACTGAATGTTGAACGGTCCACCGAATCACACAAGAGTCAAGGATGATTAAGGAGAGCTGACACTAGACGATAAACCTTAGCCTAGGCAATTGTGTAGTAATACCCAGTTGGGGCTCATATGTCAATTTCGGTTGGACATAATTGTGTCAATTTCCATCGCCACGGGGAGTCGAAGTTTGATAACACCTTTACACGTGACATCTGTATAATTGAAAAATACGGACTCAGTGAAATCATAAGTGAGGAGTGAATAGGTTCGAAGATATGTTCGGAAAGCTACCAATTTATCGAAAAGCGTTTGGTCTAATCTGGCCACCAGTTGTGAGTGATGTCACGGCGTACTCACTCGTAATCTGGTGCAGATGCGTGACCGAGCGCCTCCAGCTAGCGCCAATGTCGAATACTAACTGAACCATTTACTTCGGGAGTTTATAAACTGCTACAAGTATATCATGTTTAGTCGGAAACCATGAGATAACACCATGAATTTAAATAAAGCCAGAACAAATATTGATGCAGAATAATATGAATTCATTATATTTCGTGATTTCTCGTCAGCTTCCTATAACCAAATATGTATTAGAACTTTACATTGAGGTAAGAAATTGTATGGAACAATTGACATAAGTGAATATTAAGGATTGGAATGACAGAGGTCATCAATGATATATATATGTATATATATATATATATATGCAAGAACAGTTCAGAGGTTATCAGGTGTTAGAATCAAGGTGGTGGATTTCAGAAACAGATGAGATAAATTTTATAGTAGTGCTAGAGGTAATAAAGGAAATACAAAATCCCGAATTAAAACTTCTTTCGCTAAACCTAGTAATGTCTTCAATGTAAATAATCCAGAGGTCTCTTCATCTATTAAGACTTCAGGCTTTCGAACAGACGTGTATTGTCTGTACTATATCAACGTAAACGTATTCCTACTTTTGGACAACTGGCGATAATTCAGAAAACATGTGATTAGCTAGTCGTTTTAAAACCCTTATGCTTATTTTTTGTTTTTATTTATACTTCTGTAAGTATGTCTATTTATCGGTCATTTGACTAGTCTATCTATTACTTTTCCTTACCTTTTTAGTTTACTCTGTTTTTAAGCTGAGGAGAAGAAAAGCAATTGATCATTAGATCTGCTCATTCCATTTACATGTACTCATATCGTCTGTTGGTTTGTCGTCTCATGCTAATGACTGAAACATGTGTCTCAAATAGCTTTCATATTCTACTTTTGGTTTGGCGTTAAAATAAGTAGTTAGTTATACAATGCATCCAAAATTAAATGCAGATACTCATAATGGAAGCGAATGAAATTTCAGGGTCGACAAATGGCTGTAGATGCTTGATTTTTTAAGATTATTATTGTTCACGTTAATATGGTGTAAAACGTGTGGTCAAGCACTGAGATTTTAACACCCATAAAAGCGATGTTGTAGCAAAGTGTGATATTCACATAATTAGTTTAAGCAAACTAAAAATTAGAAGTAGAATTAGGATGTTGTTATTCTTGTCACAATTCTTGTCATTTTAGTAATCCAACATACTAAAGATGGTTGGCCTACCAGATGAATTAGTGACAAACTTCTCATAACAGATTAAGTTATTTCTTTGAAAAATTTCTTAGTATGTGATATTTTTACTGATACTGTTGATACTGTATTGTAGAAATTAAGTTACTACTCCGAAAAATTAAGTCATATGCACAAATCGAACGATTCATTAGACATGTTTATAATTCAGGTAAAATAGGTAAGATTAAGGCATTCGGTTACTATCCTTAATTCACTGTTCGTTATTTTCATGTCAGAAAGTTGTTTTCATATTTTGGCCATTGTTTTTTATGAGGAGTTTTATTCATTAAACTTGGTTATGTACTATTGTACGAGTGGCTATTGTTGTAGCAAAAAAAACATTTAGATTATTTCAAAGGAACGATATCTTCAGTGTTTGAACCATCAGTAGTTTGTCAGTAGCTTTCAGTAGATTGTCGTTTGTTTACATTCTAAACTATCCTAGTCACTGGAACTGGATTAGTAAGCGTAGTGATAATATTAGCACAAATGTCGAACAGGGTCATACTAGTGATCCGTTTCTCAAACATATTATAGGACTCTCTTGGATACTCGTTTTTAAGATGTCTTGACTGTTTTATTAAGTGTTGATTATTCTAAGTGACACAACTCACAGAATTTTACATTATGTCAATGAATTTTTGCGTAACATGATGATTAATTTGGAATTTTTAGTCGGTCAATGAAATGAATGAATTTATGTTATTTAGCACAAACTCTCATTTCTAATCTTTTTCCAAATTAATAGAGAGAACCATGGTTATGATTTCATGAAGTTGAGTATTTAACAAAAGTCTCATAAAGAAGCAAATCAGATTAACGGTTACAATTAACTAAAATTAAAATTGTGATAACTTTAGTATTATTCATAGTGTCACTTATAATATCTAAGATAGTCTGGTTTCGATAATGCAATGAGAAGACGAAGATTATCACAATTATGTGATATATTTGCGCAATACATATCGAACAATCTGATCACACACATACTTGTTAAGACATTGTCATATGAAAACAAGAAGGTCAACTAGACAGGTTAAAGGTAAACCGTAACAAAGAAAAATAAAGTACACAAAAACAATGTGATAACCACTCTGGATAATAAATTAGTATTACCAGGCTAGATTAAGGGTAAGAACTAATTGTTTTCGAACACGTAAAGGGTGTTTCAGTTTTCGCATAGCCAAGGTTTCAATAAACCTTAGTATACATCCTTGAAGGCTTTTGTACAACACTACAAATGCTGACTTGATATCAACCTTATGACCAATCTCAACTAAATGTTTCTTAACGGAGGAAGATATCTATCCTGTGATCTTATTTGACCATTGGAACTCATTTGTTTCTGCAGCTATTTCGGTATGTGTTCCACCACTCTTTCTTGCAGATCATGACTGCTCCTCCCTATGTACGTATTTCCGCACACACATATAAATTGATAGTCTAGGTTTGTTTGAAAACAATAAAATCTTTTTATAAAACAATTATTTAGTAATAGATAATCAATTAATCTCAGTAATGATATCGAGTCTTAAAATAATTGGTTCACCAAAGAACTATTTTTAATACGTTTATTTGTATACCTGTACAGACTTTATTAAATACTTTATCATCAATTTTGAAACAATTATCAAAACTATACAAAAAAAGAATCTATTTGATAGAAATAATCAATACATCTAATCAAACCCTCTTCCTATCTCTCTTTATTCATATATTTCTCTTAGAATACAATTTCATATTCTACACTTTTAATAACCTTATTATCTACTGATCACATGAATAAAATTATGTAAGGTAACAGTTTGCCCTCAAAATGAAGTAATCATTCTGAGTACAATGATATTTATCTTATATTATATGACCTTTTTCTCACTTATCATCTTTTGTGTTCAATTGTAAATTTGGAGAATATATATACATATAAATTTGATAGAAATAATAAATATCTTATTTCGCTTGTAGCGGTAAATTTAATATTTTGAATTTTAATGTTATTTGTTGATTTAACATTCGATATACAATTCATTGGAAATCATATAAACTACTGATAGATACGAAGGAAATTTTGTTTTAAACGAACTATGAACTGTATTCAGTAACAATTGTAGAATATATCGTCTACAATATTTCGGAATCGAATTTCAAGTATTTAATTATTCCATTGATTGTTGAGCAAATAGTTGTATAGTGTTTAACATTATGAATATTACTTTATTCACGCTAGTGTTTTTCAAGGTCTAGACATTTACTTCTCTGACTAAATCTACGGATTCTTATTTCAATGGGACTCATGAATGACGTAAAACATGAAACTAAGCGGTTAATCAATAAGATTGGCTCTCAATTTTACGATTTTATTTTCTTCAATTGGATTACTGACTTATAGACTGTATATTTAAATGTGAATGATTCGTGAAAAGTTGAGTTGGGCTCGCATCACATTCGGAATTACTTACCTTTTTTTTAATACTCAATAGAAGAAGTTTATAGGTTTGTAGTTTCAATGTTTTATGACCAGTTCTATTCTGAACAGATGGATTTATTCTTGAAAAAATAAGACTTTGTAATTTATAAAGCAAATGAATAAATCGAAAACCTGATGAAATAGTTAACATCACAGAAAAGATAATCATTATCAATATGCCATCCATCTCAATGTATTTTCTTTAAGCCATTCGGGAATTCAAGTAAATATTTCTTCTCACTTTAAGTTAGTATAATGATTAAGCTATTTTAATAATGTTAAATTTAAATTGTTTGACCCATATTGGTTTTGTTTTATAGCAAGTCATGATTTGTTATGTATATCATCACTTAGTAACCGCAGTTTTTGTTAAATAACATTCAATTATTTGTGAGTAACTCTTTTTAGACCAAAATTATATTTTTCTTCATACAAATGCTTTTTATTTAAAACATCCAAATTTTTTTAAACAATACTATTACTAAATCTTATCTAACTGGTTGGAGAAAATAATTTTGCAGTGTGAAATGAGAACAGGTATTTATTGATATGTAAGTAAACTTTAGTGAACGGGAAGTAAAAGGTGGACTGAGATATACTTAGTACATTTGTACTCTGCATTCGGATATAATTGATACAATTGGACAAAGACAAACAAAATTGGAACCATTTTCAAAACCAACGGTCAGTTACAAATAGAACAAACCATATGTTTGACAAATTAACTCTACGGTTATTACTTCATTTAACTAGACTTCAATGAGTACATATATAAACATAAATTCTAATCTATAACTACGTACTCATCTACTTTATAATTTATTATCAAAACATGAACAAAACGATCGAAGTTCACTATCCCCTCTAAAATAGTGAAAAAAATGTTTGACATAAGTGCAACAAAAAATCGAAAGCAATTCCAACTTGATTATCGCTGGAAAAATATGAAACAATGATGATAAGGCGATTATATTTGAACGTCATACTAAATGATTAGAAGTTTATGAAAGAGGTGAATCATTTAATATGCAACAACAGATTTTCGATATTTTAAAGTAAAAGTCAGTCAGTACAAAAGAAAACTATAAAAGTAAAAAGAAAATGAAGAAGGTTTAACAATGCGAAAATAAGCCAGCAAATCAAGGTATCTGATACAGACTTATTATCTATTCTGTGATAATCATAAAAACATACAAAAACCAGCTATAGTGTTTTTTTTTTGTAAATCAACTGACGGCCTTAACTCTTTAATGAAAATGGGTATACTTTTAAAATATCTGATTTACCCTACACTTTCATTACTAAGCATATCTATATTGTGAACAGGGAAAACACTTCATTTTCACAATGCACATCGAATTCATTTTGAATATGATCATTTTACATGAACATACTTATTCAATAAAGCTTGTACTTCATGAACTGCATATACAAATAAATTAATTTCAAACTAAATACATTTTATGGAAACCAGCGCATCAAAATCTCTAGATCAAAATAGAACTATATACATTTTTATGCTTAAATGTCATAATCACTAAATACAGCTGTGAAATTATTCTTTATTTTTTCTATGGAGAAAGGTCTCTCTAAACAATGTTATGAAATCCACTAGTCAGTGTTTGCATGTTTCATAACTTTCATTCATAAGTTATTATTTTTTCTATACATCCATGCACCAAACAATGCGGTTAACAAGCTTGGTTGATTGTCTCTTATTGAATCCATTTATTGAAAGTAGTCAGTAGATAAATCAAAATTCTAGCATAAATCTATCTTCAAGAGACTTTCCATTCTACACTATATATCTAGTAGACGTTCTTTACCTTTTCACACACTATTCAGATGTATTTTTTAAATCAATATTTGGTGGGAAAAAAAGTATTTTTCAATGAAAGCTTTCATGTTAAAATGCATTCTGAGTTAGGAATGTTTCGATTAGATCTTTTTCTAAAGCCTTATTCATTAATATAAAACAGACAACTTGAAAGTGAATACAGCCAATATTATTTATTCATCAGCAATTAATTTTATAAGATTACTCAACCCAACTCACTAAATCATTTGGTTATTAGGTTCTTTGATTTACATTAATTGGTTGTTTTTAGAATCTTAATTAATGAACAGCCGATGCGAAACTGATTGTCATGAATATTGTAAAGAAATCAGCATTTTGTCTGTTGACAAATTTTAAGAAATATCTTTGTTAAGAAGAACTTATCTAAAAAACGTGGGGCTATTCCAAATTATTTTATTCTAGTCGATCATAATTGTTACTAAAGATGATCATTTGAAATTTTCCGTTAAAATCTATAAATTGGTGTATGATTGATTGAGTTGATGAAACACTAATGTTCTCATGATGAAATGATAGGAAAGATTTTATAATTTGGGTAGATGATTTCGGTTGTATTTGATTCTTCGAGCTTGATTATTAATTTACGAAGCATTCGTTGTCATTCTGGGCAATATCATCAGCGCTTGATTCAAGTAAAAAAGAGCTTTTTAATAACTCTACAAACGTCAATTGAGTCCACTCTAACAATATTGCTTCTGTTATTGTTCGTGAACTCATGTTTATGGTAAAGTAAAAATTTTTAATGATAATTATTAACATGGATGTGGATTCTAAATTACCTTACATTTTATTCCAGAAATTATATAAACAAAAATGTCAACGAATATACAACCTCAAGTTGACGTAATACCAACAATACCTAACATGGTTATCATAAATACTATAAATCATCTTGTTGATAGAATCAAAATTCTATCAGAGCAAGTACATACATGCATGAAAATTAGTGATCAATTCATAAACCATTCATTTAAATCAATAAATATAAATGGTACCCATGCAAAATATGTCCATAATCGAAGCGTTCTGTATATTATCAAAAAACTTTTACGCCTGAAACAATCAAACCAAAATGTAATCAAATCATTGCATCGTTATCAATGCTATATGGAAAAATTAATTTTTGATATACAACAAGAAACTGCAAGAAGTAATCAAACGGAAATTACAAGAATTAAATCAAGAAGGTCCAAAGTAATTCTGTTGTTTACTTTATCTCTATAACAATCACTTTGTTTATTTTTTGAACTTCATAATTAGAATGTTGATACTGTTCAACAAGTTGTAGTAGCCGAGTATCAACTGTTAGAAAGTCTTAAATGTTCTCTGGAATCGAAATTGCATCTACTATTTGATACAGTTGAAGTATTTTAAAATATTAATGCAGCCATCATATTTTATTGCTCAATAATTTATTAGAATGTAAAGTGTGTTCAATGTAAACTTGATCAATGGATAACTGAGCATGAGCAAAATATAGAACATTCCAAGAAATGTGACGAAATTCTTGCAGAATTAACAACAGTAGGATGAAATGCATCATAAAGAATATTTAATTATTATTTCATACTTTGTTGCTTTTTAGATAGATGGTCAAGTTGAAGTACTAAATGAAAGTTATTCAACATCGCTGAATTTAGAAAACATTTCAAAAATTATAGATTCCACTTTATCTCATGTTAATACATTGCAATTAGATTTAACCATTATGTTTGAAAAAATTCAACAGGTTATAAATGGTACAAGAAATTCAGTTTTTTATGCTTTAACTGAAGAATGTACATTTCTTACGAAACAACTGGTAAGTATATAACTGGACATGGTAAGTGAAAATAGACAATTTCCACCATTTAAATAAAGATCTTATCTATGACTGATCAATAGTTTATTGAACTACTAAGGATTTATTCAACAATTGATTTGAACACTTATAATGTAACAAAGTAGAATTGTCTTTAAAAAGAAATGTAATATTGTTTCTGGTAATACCCGATATACTCAATATTCGATATAAAAAAACGTTTCCATAAATCACCTGATGATTAGTAACAGACAATTTCGTAACCAAGCTGGAAACTTTGTTTGATAACGGCTCTAACCGTCAGCCAATCTATCGACCACACACAACTATAAACTAATTAATTAATTAATAACTGCTAAAGTCCTTTTATCATAGTGCATACTTCTAATTAGTACCTCTTGTTTTTATTCAAGCACCGACTATTTCTTTCAAGTTTAAAACACAAGATGGCTAATAATAGAAATTTAAAAATGATGAATCAGATCATGAGTAAAACACCAAACAAGGTAATTTTTATTGCTTTCATTATCTATAATACTGTCGTTTAAGAATACCTTGTTTTATTCTTAATCTTGTTATTCAGTACAAATATTATAAAATAAGAAAGATTAGTTCAGCGAAGATTTCTCTTTTTGATTGAATTCATTTTCAAATCTGTTCAATAGCAAATATATGCTCGTTTTCAAACTGATAGTAATCACAATGATAGTGGTAATGAAATTTTCGCTAAAAATGGTAATGGTAAAGTAAAATAAAGGTATAAGAACATTATTTTCATTCTGTAAATGATATCAACTTTATGAGTGACCGCTTAAATATTCATCATGAAGATAGTTGAACAATTATAGTTAAAGAGTGAAGGCTTGGTGTGATAAGATAAAATTTTGTAACGGAGATGAAATGTAATCGGTAAGATTATAGAAACAGAAACATATCAGTTTGGGATAAAAGGAATAAAGTGAAGAATGTAATGGTGAAGCAGATGGTTGTGAAGGAAAGGAAGAGGAGAAAAATTACGAGAGTTGAAGACCATAATAGAGGAAAGGGTTGTACAAGTTCTATTTCACACAATTTTTTTATTTTCCCAAATGTATGACTCAAGCTTCAAGAATGAAAGATGGAAGCCAACTGTCTTTGGCAGCTTTCCGCTTACCTTGTCGATGACTTTCAACGCACAGTCCATTCTCATCAAATGACTTGTGCTCACAAGATGATCGATTACAGGGCTTCTTATCGAGCAGTTTTCGTTTCTTTTCAGTCACACTGGGTACTGTTCTTGAATTCTTTTGGATGAAATGCACATCGAACGAACCATGTACCTTGCCCCACACGAATAAATAAAATGATAAACGTTTATGAAATTGGTCAAACGAGAGAGATTATCCTTAAATTATTATTCAGTATTGATCGGCTGGAGAACACTAATCCCCAAGTTGCTGCAAAAAACGTTCTACTGATCGAGTCGAAAATTTTTCTCTTCAGGATATCTGTAGCAGTATCACTTTTTTCAGTTATTGTAGTTTATAATAAGGTCTTGTTGAATGCATTCTCCATAATATGATGTACAGCAATAGAAAAATATATGTAATTAGTTTCTTGCTATAGGAATATTTTTCATATATGTTCTCACATCAAACCTGATGAAGTAAGTATTTGTACACCACTCATTAATTTCTAAGAACTTCCGTAAATTTTATAATTTATCTAAACTGCATAGAAGACGAACCTGCAAATCGTGAAATTCATATTAATTTAATTTGAATTACTCAAATTACGTAAGTAGAAATAATAGGTTACCTTTCTTGACATATATATATATATATATATATATATATATATATATATATATATTTGAAATCTTTTTGTGGGATTTGATTGAACTTTATTATCTTTCTTAATTATGTTAATCATATTGTGATTCAAAAATGCATTCAATCCAAACAGTACATTGTCAACTACTGAAGAAACGTAAAAAGAAATGTCCAATTATTATTGACCTTATGAAAGTTCTTCGTACAGTCAATCCATTACTTACTTACTCCTGTTACTCCTCGTGAAGGAGCAGAGTCCGCTCACCAGCATTCGCCATCCAACCCTGTCCTGGGCAATCCTTTCCAGCCCCTTCTAGTTGCTACTCATCCTTTCCATGTCTGCTTTTATTTCCCGACGTAATGTGTTCTTTTGTCTTCCTCTTTTCCGCCTTCCTTCAGGATTCCAAGTTAGGGCTTGTCTCGTGATGCAGTTTGACGATTTGCGTAATGTATGTCCTATCCATTTCCATCGTCTTTTCCTAATTTCCTCTTCAGCTGGAAGCTGGTGTGTTCTTTCCCACATCCGGCCAATGGATGTTGAGTATCTTGAATAAACAATTGTTTATAAATACTTGTACCTCTTTGATGATGGTTGTAGTAGTTCTCCAAGTTTCAGCTCCATACAGTAAAGCGCCTTGACGTTCATATTGAAGGTTCTGACTTTGATATTGGTTGACAGTTGTTTTGAGTTCCATATGTTCTTCAATTGTAGGAATGCGGCTTTTTCGCCGGCGACGATACCACGTTGAAAGCACTGGTTCTCGTCCGATCACCACAGTTAAGCAACGTTGGGCCCGGTCAGTACTTGCATGGGGGGCCCTCGCTTTGCCAGTCCTTGCTTCTACGTCTGCATTTGACCCTTCTTGTTCATCGATGAGGCTCCCCAGGTATGTGAAGGATTCTAAATCTTCCAGAGTTTCAACATCAAGAGTGATTGGATTGCTGTTCTCCGGGTTGTATTTGAGGGCCTTGGTTTTCCTCTTGTATATGTTGAGGCCTACTAATCCAGAGACTGCTGCTACACTGGCTGTCTTTATCTGCATTTGTTCATGTGTATGCGATTTGAGGGCTAGATCATCTGGGACGTCCAAATCGTCTAATTCATTCTGAGCTGTCCACTGTATTCCGTGTTTTCCCTCAGATGTTGCGGTCTTCATAATTCTGTCAACCACAAGAAGAAAGAGGAAGGGTGAGAGTAGACAGCCTTGTCTGACTCCGGCCCTCACATGGAATGCATCTGTCAGCTGTCCCCCATCAACAACTTTGCACTGTAGTTGGTTGTGTGAGTTCCGAATAATGTTGAAAATCTTCTCAGGAACTCCGTAGTGTCGAAGAAGATCCCATAACGTTCTCCTATCTACACTGTCAAACGCCTTTTCATAATCAATGAATCTGATGTACAGTGACGAGTTCCACTCAACTGATTGTTCGACGATGATCTGGTTTGTGCACGACTGATCCTTACGGCAATTCATAGCTTCGCTATATTTTTTAATTCTGACTATCAACGGAATCGCGACCAACTATTTCAGCCTAACTGGAATCTGTTAGTTGAATACAATTGCATCTCAATGTTGATGTTCGCAATACGTCTTCAACTCACTACCTATCACTTTAAGCTACAAATAGATCTTCAATAAAATACTGAGTTTATACAGCCACCAATTCCTTTAACGGATATAGTAATTACTATTTTATAGGGTCTATGTTTTTCCATTGTTGATATTTAGAGACCAATTTGACCGATTTTCGACTCGTGACAACTCAAAAATGTACCATATTCATTTCCGAAACCAGTTTTTAGCATTTTTAACTTTGTATAATTTACTCTTGTGAAAATCATAAAATGATTCTTCCTAGTGTTATGTCACATCAATATTTCTGTGAATAAAACTATAACAGCAACTAATCGATCATAAACTGGGAAATCTTTGTTGCCATGCATATCTTACGAGTTTAAATGATTCCTGTTATCGAAACTCTAGAAATTACAATAATTTTATTTGACTGTACTAACGGTTTCCAATCTCCCGTTTCCTAGATTTTAACGCTGATTGAATCCTATCCAGCAGTTCGCAACTCAATATTATGCGGAGTATGCTTTATGTATTATGTAGCTGGAAATTATCAGTTGACTATAATTATCGTATTATTTTCCATCTAATTATTTGATAGACTAATTTAGTGATAAGTTTACAAAAACTTCTTTTATTTATATTTTTCTCTTTTATTCTCCAGTCAAATAAGAAATTATTGCAAAAATTATTACAAAATAACGAAGAAATTCAGACTGTTAGAAGTGAACTAACTATACAATATAATCGAATTAATCAATATTTGCAAGCTGATCTCAACACAATGAGAACTCGACACAGATATCAAGGTCAACAGTTACTTCATTTAAATAATTTACCACTGAAACCAATAATTACTAAAATTAATCTTGAACCACATAGGCTATGAAGCATGTGTGATGCCACAATGTCAACTACGAACTTGACCAATAAACGAATGATCCATTTAAATCACAACATAAAAAGAAAACTATAGATATTTTTTCTTGCTTCTGTAAGCTATATCAGCGATAATGTGTTGAAATACAAAGAAATGCTTTGAAAAATCAACCGAAAACTTATTTTCTTACATGGAATGATAATACAATTACTTGACTTACTATATACATTTTATACTGACGTACACTGTGAATACACGATGAAACAACATGAATTTGATTAATAGATACACTGAGACAACCAGCGTCTATTTTGAGAAAAGTACTACAAATTCTCTCTCCATCTGTCGCTTCAAAATGCTTGTTTCACGTGAGCTTATCCGATGACCCTGTGGCACTTTCGTCTGGTCTTGCTGGCGTTGGTGTCGCACTAAGCACTAGAGCTGAGGCAGCACTAATCGATTGGATCCCCATTAACAGTCGGTCATGTGCTGTTAGATTAGAAAGTTCCATCAAAGTAAGAAGAAATCGGCGTGAGATACGATGTCTTTTCGTCATCTCCGCATATGCTCCGACAGATTGCAGCCCGGATGCAATCAAGGATGAGTTTTACCACCAGTTATCTGTTCTTCTCCAGAAAGTACGTCCGACAGATATTGTGGTACTAGCCGGAGACTTGAATGCTCAGGTCGGGTGTCTAGGCACAGAAGAGAGTCGTTTAGGTGGCCGATGGGGACTCGTTGGTCGCAGGTCAGATAACGGGGACCGTCTACTGCAACTGTGCACAGACCACAATCTGTTTCTGTCTAGCACTAACTTTCGGCACAGTCATCGCCGATGTGCCACCTGGCGTCCTCCCTCTGCATCTCAAGCCTGGACTCAGGTTGACCATATCGCAATGAGCTACCACTGGCGTGGTTGTGTACAAGACTGCCGCTCCTTTCGAAGTACCTATCTGGAATCTGATCATGCCCTGGTCTGCGCCAATCTTACCTTACTTTTCAGTGGCCAACGAATCAATCGCCCAATCTCACCATTCCTCTTCAACTTTGCCATCGATGACATTCTGGAAACAGCTCTGACGGATGTAAATAATGGTGGTGCGGCTCTGTTAAGTATGAAACTCGGGATAAGCGATAGTGTTTGTAATAGACCACTTATTCAGACGCCAATGGTTCACATGTTTACGTTCAGTTAATTTATGATGCATCAAAACTATAATTCTATGTTACTGATGATACCTTCATCAGTTCCAAAAATGCCGCACTTGATAACTCATCATAAACTTCGATACTAGTGAATTGACAGTCAGTGACTAGTTGATTGATTGTAGTGACAATATTAATTTTGATATTGATTGTTGTTAGTGAATAAATTTAGATAACCAGTAAATACATGTGAAATAAATTCACCTCACAAACTAGCAGAAAAGCTAACTAGATTACAAATGATACATACATACATATATTTACTATTCCAACTAAACGTTTCATGTGATCCAGATAGTAGAAAATAATCACATTTTTTAACAATAAATCCCAACTTACGAAAAATGTTCATAGCAGATCACGCTCACTAAATTAATCTATTTATCAGAATATAACTATTCAAATAATATCAGGGAAAAGGATTACGGACGTGTAGTAAAATCTGAAGTCTGAACAATGTAAAAAATTGCGCAAACTTAAAAATTTACTTTCTTTTTGAGAATATACGATACACAAATAAATTAATGTAATGCTGAATAAAATATCACACTAGAAAACAAACAATGATCAGGTCGAAATTGTTTAATAGCATTGATGTATGCTGTGTCTCCGAAACACGCATACAGGATCCCAGTGTGGTCATTCACTCGACCTCACATCGGCGAAACGGAGAGCCAACGAGATACACCCTCCGTGTATCTGGTGACGCGACGGCCAGCTCTCGTGAACTGGCAGGAGTAGGGATAGCACTAAGCATGAGAGCGGAACAAGCACTGTCAGAGTGGATCCCCGTCAACAGTCGTCTATGTGCTGTTCGGCTAAACGGCTCCGTAAGAACTCGGAAGGATAGGGACACACGTCGTTGCCTTTTCGTCGTTTCTGCCTACGACCCCACCGACTGCAGCTCAGATGAAATGAAAGATGAATTTTACAGAAAGCTATCTGAACTTCTTCACAAAGCTAAACGTTCAGACATAGTACTCGTAGCAGGTGACTTTAATGCCCAGATAGATAGTTTAAACCAAACAGAAAGGCATTTAGGTGGGTATTTTAGTATTCCGGCACAACGAACAGATAATGGTGATCGTTCGCTGCAACTGTGCTCAGACACTCGTTTATTTTTAGCAAACACAAATTTTAAGCATAAGGAGAGACATCGTCTAACATGGCGACCGCCTGCACCAAGCCAACGATGGACTCAAATAGACCATATTGTCATCAGTCATCGTTGGAGAGGGTCGGTGGAAGATTGTCACTCATTCTGGAGTACCTGCTTGGACTCTGACCATGCCCTAATACGGGCACGCATCTGCTTGCGCCTCACTGGACGCAAAAAGCCACATTAAAAAGACCCATGAGAACTGAATTGAGTAGCGAGAAAACCAAAAGTAGTTTCCATGAACAGCTGAGGTCACAATTAGGTAGTTCTGAAAACGAGGTTGACCCAGATATTGCTTGGAAAGGCATACAATCAGCTGTGGAAACAGCAGTGACATCTGTTAGCGACTTAAACCACAGAGTTACAAAGAACCAGTGGATTTCTTCAAAGTCTATCACACTGATGGATTCTCGCAAACTCGTCCCATCAGGTTCCGAACATGATGAAGAGCGACAACAAACTAGATCTAGGTTAAGAAAAAGTCTAAGGAACGACCCTGAGCAGTGGTGGGCAACGAAAGCAAAAGAGATGGAAAAGGCGGCGACTATAGGGAACACAAGACAGCTATATAGACTAATAAAAGAAACAGGAATTACTAAGTCAAGTGTAAATCAGACTATTTCGGAAAAAGACGATACTCTCATCTACTCCCAGTCCAGACGTTTAGAACGATGGGCGGAACATTTCAGAGAACAGTTCAGCTGGCCTTCAGCTATTCTACAACTACCCTCCATTCCCAGACAATGTGAATTGAACATTGAATTAGGTCCCCCAACTCTAGCAGAAGTTCAAAAGGCTATAGTTAATCTGAAACGAGGAAGGGCAGCTGGTCCAGATGGATTGGCTCCAGAAGTCTTTAAGGATGGTGGCCCAATTTTAGCGATTAGGTTGACTAATATTTTAGCTAAGATCTGGGAGTTCGACGTTGTTCCATCTGACTGGTCACAATCACTTATCGTCCCAATATATAAGAAAGGGTCAAAATCATCCTGTGACAACCACAGAGGGATTAGTTTAACTAATATAGTATCTAAAATACTAGCCTCGATAATTATCATACGCTTAACTAAGACTCGTGAACTGCAAACACGAGAGAACCAAACTGGCTTAAGACCTGGTCGTGGCTGCATCGACCACATATTCACCATTCGTCAGGTTCTAGAACACAGGCATACTTATCGACGTCCGACAATGGTTGTCTTTCTTGACTTAAAATCGGCATTAGACTCGGTAGACCGCGAGATTCTGTGGCAGTGTCTGTCATTGAAAGGCGTACCTCAGAAGTACATAAACCTTGTGAAGGCTCTTTACTCGAACACTACTAGTCGAGTCAGAGCTTATGGTGAACTGTCATCTACTTTTGCAACCTCAAGTGGTGTCTGTCAAGGCTGTCCACTATCTCAATTTTTGTTTAACTTCATCATAGACCTACTGATGGAAATAACACTCTCGTCGACTGAATTCTCGGGTATTGATCTCCTTCCAGGATGTCCACTTATCGACTTAGAATACGCAGATGATATAGTCCTGTTTGGTGAAGACGCTGACAAAATGCAGAGTCTTCTGGTAGCACTAAGCAACAATGCCAGAATGTTTGGAATGCACTTCTCTACCCCTAAATCCACGTTGTTGCTTCAGGACTGGTCTGCGTCAACACCTGAACTAAGGATAGGCAGCGAAGTAGTCGAACGCGTTGACAACTTCACTTATCTTCGAAGTCTGATGTCCAAGATCTGTACCATGTAGTTGACCAGACTAAAGAGAAGGCGGTATCCCTCTATGATTAAAGTGAACTTCACTGTAGTTTGTTAACTAATCTTCAGTTCGTATAGTCTTTAAATACCTCATATGATTCAGATTTTGAATTTCTAAACTATTTTTTTCCTAAAACTGTTCTGAACTATCAAAATACGCATTAAATTAATGTAGCTAGAACAGCTAGGTAGTAGCATTTGTGATTGCAACATTAGGTGATGTGTTCAAATATTATTGGAAACAATCAACCTCCCAAAAATATAAATAAGCAATTAAATTTTTCCAACTCTCGGCAGTACCGCTTCACCTATTTCTTAAATCCTTTCAATCAACCATTTCATGTCATAAAAATAGCAAAGTTAGTACTTGGTAGGTGACTGAAAAAGTAGGTAAACGTCCAAGCGTAGTTTATGACAGTCATAACAGTAATGTTATTTTTGTGTAAAGATGGCACGAAACGCCACTTGACTGCTTATATGTTTTATAAGTATTCAAACATATGAGTCACTGAATACTAATCAGTGTTGGCTTATTTGATATTCAGGATTAACCAGACCTTGTCAACCAATTTGACTAACTTAACAATATAACACATTGAAATTTTCAAATATTATTCAAATCCAAGCTTCCTTTCAAATATAAATATCATTTAATTATATCCATCAACAAGTATGTAACCTAGATACGTAGCCAACAAAAGATCTCTTCTGCATAATCACTTAGTCAATAGTAAACTTAGGTTTTGAGATTTATTACTTGAAGTTTTAGCCCGAATCAGTGCTATATGAATTAAGCTAAATTTGAAATGATCTGATCATATTAGATGAGGACAGTTCTATAGTATCAATAGACTAATGTTAAAAAACTTGAACAATGAAATAACATCTCGATGAACTGTACATATTACTTTAGTCGCAAAACCTAAGCATATTAATATCCACATCGTATTCAATAATGAATTTATCATAATATAAAGTCACGAAATATAATAAAACACATATTCACTTGTTCTTGGCTTTCTGAAACAGAAAATTGTAAAAGATAGAATACTAAGTTTCTTAGAGAATCGAAATAAGTTGTGAACAATAAAATGTTACACTGAATAGACAAATAGATTTTGTTTTCCATACAGATAACTTTGAATAAATAACAAAAGTTTAGATTCATTTGTGGCTTTGCTTTAAACAAGTTAATGAATTTTATCTCTTTTTAATAACAGTTCAATATTGAAGTTTCAATATTGTTTTAAAAAGATAATTTAATTTATAGTTTGACCTTCAGTCTGTACAGTCCAATCATTTTAAACTAACAAAAATATCCAGATCAATGTTATAAATGCATCAATTTCAAATGAATTCCCCACTATAAACTTTTGGTCGTGGTTTTAAATAATTTTGTCTTTTTTTAATTATTATATAAACGTTTATGTTACTACTAATTGTTAATTAGTTTAATAGTCAGACAATTTAAATAAGAAATTGTTTGTTTACTTTATAAGTTTCTTTTCAAAAGAAAGATTATCTATATAAACAATAGGAGACAAAGAATCTAGAAGAGACAATCGATGTACAGGCACTTGAAAAAGAGCAAGAGAAAAACGAGAGATAACATAAAATAAAATAGATAAACCTTGTACGGAGAAAAAACGAAACATTTAAAAGGTGAGTAATTAGGACAAAACAAAGTTACTTCTATCAATGAAAAGTAAACAAAACAAAATATATTCTTCTGGACGAAATCAGATCATATATATTGATTATGTGGTTGTACTAATAAACTATTTGTAAGTAATATCTATCATCTAAGGTTTTAAAATATAAATCAATATAATAATAGTAATAACCATATTATAAACAGTAGTAGTACAATATAAGATAAATTAATATTTAGGACACTTAAAAAATAAAGTAATGAAATTAGGTGAATATGTTGGGGGTAATGATTTAATGAAACGAATTGAATTATTTCACACCGAATTTTTGAAGTCCATGATTAACTTTCTCGAAAATTTCTTCTACTGTACCAGAAGCATCAATCTATGTGATTGGAAAAAAATTGAACATAGAATTCATTATTATAAAATTATTTTACTCAAAAAACATTCATCAAAAGATACCATGAATGAATCTGTTGTATTTAAAGGATCCATTTCTTCGGAAATCTAGGAAAGATACTACTGTAACAATAGAAAGCGGAGTCAATAAACATATTAAGGGATTTTTGATAAAAGAACTAAGTGATAATTCAAATTACAGTAATCTATTGGCAAAAAATCATGATTGCGTTTTGTGTATGGTCTCTCTAAAGTAAACAAATCTAACGTCTCGTCAAGATCTATAAGATCTATAATAAACTCACTATTTCATAAATTAGATCGATTATTAGCTAAATTACCAAAACAAACTCGGCTGAGATTATATTTTATGGAAGACCATAGAGTGACGCTAAATTGACTGAGAATTTCCATCTATTAACTAGAGCTGAATGAGGATTATGAAGTAGTGCAAGGAATTAGAATCATGATTTACAGTTGTTAGTTAGGGTTAGGAACTAGATTTACGTTTTTCATCACGAACTAACATTAGTTAAACTGCTGAAACGCTGTTTAGCCAAATGGATGAATGAATTTCGCACTAAAATCCAAAACCTGTTCTCTTATATCTGATCGGTTCGTCCATAAATTATAGTTTCGCCATTTGATCATCATTTATTTAAGGTATAAGTCTCAAAATGTTGCGCAATCGATTACTATAATGTTACTATTTGTGCGTTATTTGTTGAACTATTGACTAAAGCTCAAAATTCTAACAACCACATTCTCAGTTTTTTTTAATATGATTAACCTTTCACTCTTCTGTTTTATCTCTTTGTTACCACATTCAATGACCTCTTGTTATGATTAACAAACAATAGATTATCATTGCGAAAAAATAGTATGTACTTACTATTGTAATGCTTTTAGAAAAGCTGACTCATGCTGAATAAACAGATTGATGTACAATCTATTTCAGGTGAGCAAAACGTATATATATATATATATATATATATATATATATATATATATCGAAGTAAAATATTTAAATCAACTGAAACCATATTAACAATTATGAAAAATTTCTAAGGCAAAACATCGATTGAAATTTCTACAAGTATTGCACTACTAAACTATTCATCCCTGGTTGACTTTGTACTGTGTCATTTGTATCTGCCATTCACTAAAGTCCCATTTTCAAAATGTAGACGGAGAGCCTTCCTTTTACTCCTTAAAATAATAGAAATAAATATTTGCTTGTTTGGTACTTACCATTGGCTTGGTTGACTAAAATAACTATTAATTTAGTACATATACTTCTGAAAATGTATTCTAAAACTTACTATGAATATATTTCTTTAATTTTGAACACAATAATATTATGGGTTTGGTAATTACTGTTGTGTATATTTTCCAGAAAACAATTTGTACCACTAACCAGTCGGCAAATTCTCAGTTATCAGTGGATGATATAAAATCTAAGTGGCACTCTGAGTTAAGTCAAAAACCCTTCAGACTATTATTGGAACTTTGTAATAGTTACGCTACACAATCACACGTTATTTCCATCTAAAATAACTAGATAAACGTGTAACTATTTTATTCAAAAACGTACTGTAGTAATGATTAAATTATCAAAGAGCTGTATGTTGAAATATATTTGTTAAATCTTTAGTAGTGATTCATTCTTATGTAGATATAATGTAATAGAAACAAAAATACTTTAATGGCAGAAACAATATTCATAAACACAATTATCATGCAAGATCGATCATTTCTACAAACTTACAGTGATTACTTTATTTTCTTTCTTATAGTGTTCAATAACGGGTTTTGTTAATTCATTGAAAGTGCGAAAACGTTTCACAATTGTCTCTTCATTATCATCAACACGATTACTAGTCTCCGCTCTTTTCAATAGTCTTTTACGCATCACCTCTTCACTCACATCGAAATTAATCACACACAAACAAGGGCATACCTTAAAAATGTAAATAAATCAAATATTACTGATTAGTTACCAGTTATTGACAAGACAATACTTTTATGTTATCCAATTAGATAGACAAAATGAATACAAAAAGTATCACTTGCCATTTAATGGCCAGCGTTGGGATCGATGTAGAACTACACGAGGATCAAAAAAGTACATTGTTTAATTGTTTCACTCTTTGTAACATAATAACATAGATAATAAGTAGTCGAAGACAATGATATTTAGTAAGAAGATGCAATTTTTGATACGTCATGATTCTAAACAACCGACATCACAACTAAACTCCATTCAACATATTACTTTAACGCAATAATCTAACTTATAAAAAATTATAAATACAATGTCAAATAAATGAAATCTTCGCAAACACATGGTAATCTAGTTTTATCTATTACTCGTCAGTATTTATCCGTACAACAAGATCATTTTTACTGTTATTTTACGTCAAAACTAGAAACAAAACACTTGTTATCTATGTAGATTTATTTGATTAGTCGTAGACATTAAATGAAAACAATAAAAGGCAGTAATCAATAAGTTGATTATGAATTTTTGCATATGCACTGCTGAGGAGTCGCACAATAGGACCAAACGGCCTTCCAGTGCTTCCAGGTTTTCCATGGTGGTCTAGCTTTAATTGACTCATGATATTAACTATTAAAATCACTATAATCTCCACAAAATCCCTTCTGAATTTGTGTATGTTTTGTTTCTTGGGAAAAATAAGCAAATTATACAATATTATATCTTATAAAGTGAACACATTAAATTATCAGAAGTCCATGGTTGGATTATTTAACATAAAACAATCTTTAGGTGTTAACTCAAAATGATTCAAAAATTAAATGATAATAATGATAAACATTAACCATACAAAAACATTCAAGCAAATATTTATGTCGATTTATTTACCACTAGGAATTAGTTAACAATTAAGTGACTTCACATAAATAATGAACGTAGTTAATGTTAACTATTGTTCTAAAATGAACTGTAAAAAGAAAAGAAAACTAGAGATCCCGATTTATCTATCATATAGACTTGTTTTAATCAGTTTTCTGTTTATAGTTGCATGTTATTCTTTATTAGGATTACATTAAAACATCTATGTATCATTACTGAAATATGAAAATGTTTTCTAGCTGACTAAAATAGATGATACATTGTGAAAACGATTTCAAATTATTAGTTCATATATAGGATTCCATATGATTACTTACATTCAATTTATCATTCTATTTTTAGTTCATTGAATGATTAGGTGCTATATCAAACGCTAAGCTTAATTCAGATCCACTAAATTAAAGTTAAAAGACATCATCAATCTATACTGTTGCGGACCGGGTACTAGTAAAAACGAATTAACTATCAATTATGTTTAGAATTTCACAAATTTTTAAACTTATTTTCACGTTGGATATATTTTTCTAGATTATCACCATGGTTTTTATCACGTACATGATTAAGTAGTCACTTTATTTTTCTAAAGAAAAGTAAATTATTGTTGAAAACGTATAAAACCTTGTTTAATAAAAAAAAACGTGCAATCATTAAAAACCGATAATTCCAATCTTCAGTCTAATGACCACATTCTAACACAGGATTATTCTTATTTAATATAGTATAAAGCTCAATTATCATGTGAATGTTAAGTGTGCCATTTTGTAATTAGTTTCGTCAATTATCAGCGTTCTCACAACATTCTTCTTATACATGCATGCTTGTCTGGATGTTGCATGTACATATACTTATCCATTCACTACTGGAATTGTGTCTATGCCCATTAAATGATTTGTGACTCTTCTTATTAATCGTATTCTCTCTTTATATTATTGGCTCGGTCTGGTATGTGCCATCCCAATTCATATCATTTTCAGACCTATGTTTCAGCACATAGGCAAATGCCGTGGCTGTATTCTGGTCAAACTAAACCACATTTATGCAAAATAATTACGTGGCATTCAAAAACCTAGCAATCACCAAGACAAACTATTGAAGTCAGACTCACAGAACAAGGTTTAGACAAAAAGGTTTCCATTCAATCGGAGTAATATAAAAACTCTCCCACAAACAATGTCGATTATGGTTAAATTTTGTTAAGCCCTTTTATTAACTTAGCAAACAATATTATTCGAACAGCAATGATTCGCATGTTTCTTTGTACTGTTATGGTCTGGATAAACGTGTACGCTAGATCACATGACAGCCTATGTACATATCTCTCTCTAGCTTAAATACCGCTTGATAAGTTACATTCTTTCCCATGTATATATGTACTCGAATCCTGTTATTAGCCTTTGTTTCGCATAACTGCGCCATATTCGATTTGACTATAAATTGGCCTATCTGCTTCAAATTCTCTCGATGTGCTTGTGGTTTTGTTATCCGTGTTATCCGCTAATAAGCTGTAGTTGCCGCATCTTATTGCCTTCTGATTTCAAACACCGTAGGATTTATATAATAACGGTTATGAAGGTGATTGATTAACGAAGCTAAGCCACTACAGTAATATCAAACAATATATTTACAAAAGAAACCGACACATATTTACGGTCAATAAACACTATGTTTTGTACAGCTTATTTACTAAGTAGTCATAGTAATTAAGTAAAAATACATTTCCATGTTAATTTTAATCAGTTCATTATTTAAGTCATTAATCTAGTTTGTGAAAATACTGCATAAATCTAACATAGTTTCTGGATAAACTCTACTGAAATGAAAGGCAAGCCAGAATGATTGACAAACTAAATATTGATTAATGTAAAAAAGGAGTAATCATAACAACTGAAATGATTTCGACTTTTATTGATGAATCGATTTGTTTTATTGATAAAACCCAATAAAATAATTAAGTTAATATTATGTGAATAAACTGACTTGAAAATGTAAACTTTACACGATTATTTTACGAACTGTAAGTTCAAATTGAGATGTTGAAAATTTGGACGAATTTATTTTTACTAAGTTGGTGATAATTTGGATTGTCTCCTGCTGTACTATCTGAAAACGGGTGCTGTTTTATTTTAAATCACTCACAAAAACTGATTTATTCAAATGGTTGAGAGATCATGAAGCTAGACCACCATGGAAAACCTGGAAGCACTGGACGGCCGTTTCTTCCGATTGTGGGACTCCTCGTGATTTAAACCATTAAAATTACGATAATATTCACAAAACCCCTTCTGATACTGATTTATCCAACTATGATTATCAATAACGCTATAGTTGAGATCTTTACAACAAAACATATACGTTGAACGAACTAATCAGCATATTCACTCAGAAGAGTAGTGGATCATGCTCCGTCCTTTAAAGCTATGAATACTATATTTCAGGTCTTAGTGTGGACATCGACACCGATGAAGGTTAATACACAAGACGAATCCTAACCAGGATGAGACTGCTCTTTTTATCAAATGTTAATAACTCATATTGCTAAAAATGACTCACCCTTTAGCTTAGTAATTAAAAATCAGCAATGTAAGCATACATTTACATGTAGAAATTATTTAAAATGTAACTTTCAAAACTCAAGTTGTGACAAATTTGTCAAATTGATTAATAAATCGCAAATGAAAATGTAGTATTCACTGTTTACCTCGTTTTCAAATTTAATGCCTTGATCCAGTTCACGTGGATATCCATCGATAAGGAAATGACAATTTTTGTCAACCAGTTTAATCATTGCTTCTTTAAGTAAAGCTAAAACAACTTCCTATGTAAAACACGCAAAGATAAAACTCAATGATTAACTAATAACATAGGAACAACAACTTTTCGCATAACATTATAAAAAGTGCTAAGAAAATATCACGTTTAAGTAAGTTGGATATCATTATTCTTAAGACGATTAGTTCTACTCGATTGCTATTCATTTTGTTAGATTCAACTCACCGTATTGATGCTGTACGGGAACTTGAACTGATGGATATTTTTGTGCTGAGCTCTACATTGATTTTGACTGGTGAATGACATTTAAAGCAAATATGTAGGTGGTTTATCGGTTACAAATTTACTTAATGACTATGAACTACTTTGTTGATTAAGGTCATAGATTTCACTCATATTATCATACTTATGTAGATGGAGCCAGGTAAGTATTTCACATTTTGATTGAATGCTAAGTATCTTCACAACTGAGCCTACATCTTATGTTGTTTTTACTCCATGTTTGCTTTGAATTCATATGAATTAACATCACAATAAAGAAGTTATGACTGATCTATACATTCTACTTCTATCCTCCAGTGGAGACGAGAGTAGGCTAAACAAATCAAGTTTATATTACACAAATTATTTGTTATAGTATGAATTACTTTTTCGAAAACAATTGACAGAATAAAATAATAGGATTTCGGGACAATACTGTGATGAGTGCTAGAAATTTCCTCATCCATTAGAATAAGTGAATTTTTTTAACGAGATAAAATCTTATGTATATTAATATTTACTCAAAATGAGGCAGGCATTTATAAATACCATTTTGAAATTATCGAAACATACTAGTTATTAATCAGTTGTCAGCATTATTACTATTGTTATAATTATTTTAAATGTATCATTTGCGTAAGATTATTTGTGCTTTGGAGGACTAATCGGTAGTATCAAATTATAGTTTCATGAATAAATAATTGTAAAAAAAATTATTTTAAGAATTTAATCCGAAATAATTATTATGAGTCTGGAAACTATTTCTTGGGAAATCTTCTTTGAGATTATTAGTCAGTCAGTCAGCTACAACGTAGGACCAGGCACATATATGCATCGGTCCAGGTTGCCATACCGCATCAGCACAGCAAGATGAACACCGAATTCATAGGAGTGGTTAGGTCAAAGGTGGTAATATATAGGAGAAAGATTGCATATAAGGATACAGTACAGGAAGAAAGAATTAGTTAGTAGAAAGAAAGATATGAAGTGATTTTAATCTCTTAGTTTAAGGGAAGACAGGGAGTGTATACACCGACGCCATCGTGATTGATTCTGAGCCATGTCACCAAGAGTCTCCAACCATCGGTTACAAAAGTCACGCGGACCCCAACCAAGTAGTCTGCATCTACCAACATGGCTCAGACTAGAAGTTAGTGTCTTCAAGCACTGATGCCACGTTTTGGTTTGGCCGCCCCTTACTTTCTTCCAACCATCCCGAATGCCGGTTAGCATTGCACGTCATGGTAATCGGTGTTCAGGCATACGTAACTCGTGGCCCAACCATCTCAGTCGATGAAGATTAACAACCTCATCAACTGATTTACCATCATTACCTAATACCCTACGTCTAACCTCACTATTACTTACCCGATGATCCCAGCGGACGCCAGCTATATTTCTGAAGCATCTGTGGTCAAATACTAGTAGCTTACGAGTATCATCTACTCTTAATGGCCATGTTTCGCTGCCGTAAATTAAAACAGAACGAACTGCCGCGCAGTATACTCGTCCTTTTATTGATAGACGGATATCTCGCCTTCGCCATTACATTACTGTTATGACTGTCATAAACTACGCTTGGACGTTTACCTACTTTTTCAGTCACCTACCAAGTACTAACTTTGCTATTTTTATGACATGAAATGGTTGATTGAAAGGATTTAAGAAATAGGTGAAGCGGTACTGCCGAGAGTTGGAAAAATTTAATTGCTTATTTATATTTTTGGGAGGTTGATTGTTTCCAATAATATTTGAACACATCACCTAATGTTGCAATCACAAATGCTACTACCTAGCTGTTCTAGCTACATTAATTTAATGCGTATTTTGATAGTTCAGAACAGTTTTAGGAAAAAAATAGTTTAGAAATTCAAAATCTGAATCATATGAGGTATTTAAAGACTATACGAACTGAAGATTAGTTAACAAACTACAGTGAAGTTCACTTTAATCATAGAGGGATACCGCCTTCTCTTTAGTCTGGTCAACTACATGGTACAGATCTTGGACATCAGACTTCGAAGATAAGTGAAGTTGTCAACGCGTTCGACTACTTCGCTGCCTATCCTTAGTTCAGGTGTTGACGCAGACCAGTCCTGAAGCAACAACGTGGATTTAGGGGTAGAGAAGTGCATTCCAAACATTCTGGCATTGTTGCTTAGTGCTACCAGAAGACTCTGCATTTTGTCAGCGTCTTCACCAAACAGGACTATATCATCTGCGTATTCTAAGTCGATAAGTGGACATCCTGGAAGGAGATCAATACCCGAGAATTCAGTCGACGAGAGTGTTATTTCCATCAGTAGGTCTATGATGAAGTTAAACAAAAATTGAGATAGTGGACAGCCTTGACAGACACCACTTGAGGTTGCAAAAGTAGATGACAGTTCACCATAAGCTCTGACTCGACTAGTAGTGTTCGAGTAAAGAGCCTTCACAAGGTTTATGTACTTCTGAGGTACGCCTTTCAATGACAGACACTGCCACAGAATCTCGCGGTCTACCGAGTCTAATGCCGATTTTAAGTCAAGAAAGACAACCATTGTCGGACGTCGATAAGTATGCCTGTGTTCTAGAATCTGACGAATGGTGAATATGTGGTCGATGCAGCCACGACCAGGTCTTAAGCCAGTTTGGTTCTCTCGTGTTTGCAGTTCACGAGTCTTAGTTAAGCGTATGATAATTATCGAGGCTAGTATTTTAGATACTATATTAGTTAAACTAATCCCTCTGTGGTTGTCACAGGATGATTTTGACCCTTTCTTATATATTGGGACGATAAGTGATTGTGACCAGTCAGATGGAACAACGTCGAACTCCCAGATCTTAGCTAAAATATTAGTCAACCTAATCGCTAAAATTGGGCCACCATCCTTAAAGACTTCTGGAGCCAATCCATCTGGACCAGCTGCCCTTCCTCGTTTCAGATTAACTATAGCCTTTTGAACTTCAGCAAGAGTTGGGGGACCTACTTCAATGTTCCATTCACATTGTCTGGGAATGGAGGGTAGTTGTAGAGTCGCTGAAGGCCAGTTGAACTGTTCCCTAAAATGTTCCGCCCATCGTTCTAGACGCCTGGACTTGGAGCAGATGAGAGTATCGTCTTTTTCCGATATAATCTCACTTACACTTGACTTATTAATTCCAGTTTCTTTTATTAGTCTATATAGCTGTCTTGTGTTCCCTATAGTCGCCGCCTTTTCCATCTCTTTTGCTTTCGTTGCCCACCACTGCTCAGGGTCGTTCCTTAGACTTTTTCTTAACCTAGATCTGGTTTGTTGTCGCTCTTCATCATGTTCGGAACCTGATGGGACGAGTTTGCGAGAATCCATCAGTGTGATAGACTTTGAAGAAATCCACTGGTTCTTTGTAACTCTGTGGTTTAAGTCGCTAACAGATGTCACTGCTGTTTCCACAGCTGATTGTATGCCTTTCCAAGCAATATCTGGGTCAACCTCGTTTTCAGAACTACCTAAGTGTGACCTCAGCTGTTCATGGAAACTACTTTTGGTTTTCTCGCTACTCAATTCAGTTCTCATGGGTCTTTTTAATGTGGCTTTTTGCGTCCAGTGAGGCGCAAGTAGATGCGTGCCCGTATTAGGGCATGGTCAGAGTCCAAGCAGGTACTCCAGAATGAGTGACAATCTTCCACCGACCCTCTCCAACGATGACTGATGACAATATGGTCTATTTGAGTCCATCGTTGGTTTGGTGCAGGCGGTCGCCATGTTAGACGATGTCTCTCCTTATGCTTAAAATTTGTGTTTGCTAAAAATAAACGAGTGTCTGAGCACAGTTGCAGCGAACGATCACCATTATCTGTTCGTTGTGCCGGAATACTAAAATACCCACCTAAATGCCTTTCTGTTTGGTTTAAACTACCTATCTGGGCATTAAAGTCACCTGCTACGAGTACTATGTCTGAACGTTTAGCTTTGTGAAGAGGTTCAGATAGCTTTCTGTAAAATTCATCTTTCATTTCATCTGAGCTGCAGTCGGTGGGAGCGTAGGCAGAAACGACAAAAAGGCAACGACGTGTGTTTTGAGACTAATAATCATTATTAATCACTACATTGTAGTTTATCAACGACTATAAGCATCGAATTCCAAATGGATTGTCGAGCGCATATCTATTTATAATACAAAACATTACAAATAGTTCTAAGTAAATGGTTTCCTGAATCTTTCTCTACAGATAACTAAAGTACATAGTTTTCCATGCATTTGACTTTTAATAACTGAGTGATTGGTTTATTCTAAGCTAACTACTGTCTGACGTTATGAAATGATATTTTTTTAACCGGTTAACTGTCTTTTATTGTCAAAAACTTAATGAAGTATTCATTAATTTCAAGTTATTTAGTCTGATCACCACTTTGAGAACGTGATAGATTTAATTTAGTCAGAATAATTTGCAACAAAACGTTGGTAAATAAATATGAATATATCTTATGCAGTAATTTAAAACATTCACATTTTCGATAGTCTATAAAATTACAACAATAAGATTTAATATTCACATCAAGAAGTCTTCTGAGCTAAATGTATCGAACAACGAAGATAAACGGATCTACATTACGAAAAGTATTTATGCCTCACTATTAGAGAGGAGTATTTTGAGTATTTCTTGAGTTTTTATAGTAGACATCATCAATAAATTAATTACGCTTGACTCCATTGTGGCTAAATCCATACATAAAATAAACACTTCATCTGCCACACTTACGATATCAGCTGTATTCAGTTTATGTGATGCGACAAACCGTATTTTGTATTGGCTTGTTAGTTGATTTACTTGTGTACATTCATGGAGTAGAACTAGGTTTACTGAAATCTTGCTTCTACTTTTTTTTCAAAATCTTACCGAACTTCAATGTTGTCTAGGTATTTAAACACTTAAGTGTTATTAAAAATGAATATTGATTGGTGAGAATAGTATACCATAAAGTATTGATAAATAATTAAGTATTGGCAACTATACGACATGTCTGAGTCATTTAAAACAAATTAATTAAGTAATTATTGTATGGTTAAAGTCACGGTGAACTGTATAAAATGTTGTTCGATCACAACAAATAATTGTCTGTTTAGAATAACATATAGCGAAAATGAAGAGGTAGATGAACATCCTTCCTTAGTGAATAAACACTAACATAAACATTTTTGTTGAGGTTATATATACATTTTGAAGCTAGTTTTCGTCTGGAGTCGAGGTTAATTGGTGAACCATTATAAACTAAGAAACAACGAATAGATGCATTGACAAATTTTAAGACCAATTAGCGGATTGAATTTATGAAGGTCACCAATTGAATCCTGAACCTCAAAGTTTGGCATGGAAGATGGTACTTTTAAACCACTAAATTGATGTATATTTTCATATATTTTGAAATCAACTTTAGAGAGCTTCATAATTAGAGCATGCAACTTACAGAAACCAACTTATTTAAAACTCGAAACTAATCTTCACTCAAATTCATTGTTGAAAGCCGTTTCAATCCCAAATTGGTCAATTTAGAAAGTCATGGATGTATTACAAAACTACTGGAACTCGAAACGTGAACCAATAGATCTTGGCTTAGTAGCTTGAAGATATTGAGTTGTTAGTAAAACTACGATATTAAGCGTTCTATTCAATTTGGAATCATCAAAAACAAATAATTGTCTGACTGATGAAACCTTATTCTGAAAAACAGCTTGCGTTGTTCCAACAAATAACTCGTTATTAAATGTGACTACAAACTGCTTTAATATATACAGGTTATGATCATCTGACCGAAAGGTTTTGGGATGTAACATTTGCAGTGTTCAAATAAATAAGATACTGACCTGAAATACTCGTGCTTGAATAATCACATGAATTTTTAACCTATGTCATCATATGTGAACAATATTTTCTTTGTACTTTTTGAACTTGTGTCAACTTAATTCAGTTATTTATTCACCCTGAAGAAGTGACTTAATTAAGTCAAAAATACAATTTTTTGACTCGATGGGATATAACAAAAATTATTATTAATATTTGGTAAACTTTATAACTTACCAAAGGAACAAGTTCACCTCTCTCCATCATAGCTTTTAACTCTTTACCTTTTGGTGAACCGGACTGAACTTCAGCTCGTAAAAGATCACCACTGGATAAGTGATTGAAATGAAATTTCTGGACTAATTTTTCACACTGTGTACCCTTACCACTTCCTGGTCCACCTTTTTGCAAGTAATTGAAAAAGTTGAAGCACATAGAACTATAATCACAAACTTATATCAAGTGGGCGCGATTAATTAACATTTGGGAAATTGAAAATTACGGGAGTTACGTAACCATTTCTGTAATTATATAAATAGGAAACGGTTTATCGATAGAACTACTGATAAATTTCATGGAATTTAACTTAATTTGCAGGTGGTTTTCATCTAAGAATCTCATCAATCGTAAGTCATGCCAGGGAGTACCACGCTGGGACTAAACAGCCGTCTACTGCTATCCGGTTTTTAATAGAACCCCAACTGATGGCAGACAGTGGTGAATGAAACCTAATTCTTCAATATGTTAATCATTTGAACAAATAGCCGACTTATTTTCCAAAAACATTTTAGATCGATTTGTTTAATAATAAAAGAATCGACTCATCAGTAATCAAAATGCTTCATTTAGTCAGATGCGAGTAGTTAAAATTAATGATTAACACAAATAATTTAGCATTCAGACTTGTATGTGATTTACAGACTACATATATCTTTTTTCATATTCCTTACATAGATGTGAAAAGAGATTTTAATCGGCTCCACTTTTTGGGAACGAAGTAAGTAAATACGTGAATTATAAATGGATAAAGGATATGTGACTAGTTACCTAATCTCTTGCTGCTATAAATAGTTTCGGCATAAAGCGAGTTATCATGCCTCCCCGATCTTGTGAATTAATAAAGTTAGAAGTGGGCATAAGACATAACAACATATAATAAAGTAGTCCAGAAAATACAGAACTGTAGCCGGAAGTAACTGTAACGATACGACATAAATTTCGGAGTTTAAATTGACAATAAGTTTAAAGCCTTGAAAATATCTTCTCCTAGCGCATTTTTAACTAAAAGTATAGTTATTCTTATAAGTAGAAGTTATTGTGACTGAAAAGTGCATCTAAGTTGCTATATAATTAAGATGCGTAAATGGAGGAATAGTGTGAGGATAACCAGGCTTTCGCAATATCAACAACGGGATAATCCACACCATTTCAACTTGAATTAAATCTCATATCCGCTGCACAAGTGAATGGCTATCTGAACTTAGTAGCTAAATGAATAACGCGATGACGTTTGAAGTGGACGGTATTGGATCCAGTCCAGGAATGAGCACCAACTCTTAGATGCACGTACATCTAGCTGACAAGCTGCGCATAAGACAAAAGTGCGTGTCCTTGATTCCAATGCTAAACACGAGTCATCCATTCCATACCAACTTGTATCCTCATGGCTATATGGAGGCAATCTGCACAGAATGGCCATATACCAATCAAGACTAATTGAATTCCAATAAAAAATATCGACATAATAATCTAAACCATGTTAAATTTAATTAAATCGTAATCAAATGTTTAATCAAATTGCAATATATAGCGTTTTCAAGTATTTTACCTTCTTATTTATTGTGCCAGCGCTCGAGAAGTGTAATTTATACTAGGGACTTTATTATAATTACCTAAAGCTATCTACATAGTTTGTACTTAAAGTATGAATAAATCAATGACAGTAAACGCCGAAGAATTGAGTGGTTTCTTTTAAACAGTTTAACTCTACTAGAATACTATTTGATACTTCAGAGCAAACTGAGACAATGTTCAAGTTGTCAAAGCATCCAGGTTTTAAAAAGAGAGCCATTGGTTTTGAATTCTTTTCACACTACTCTGGCTCGAACGGCCAATTGGTTGCATCAGCCCTTACAAAATCAGGACCACTAAGCTAGAACCGAACGATGTTAATGTTTAACTTTAATCAAATCACAATATTTCAAGACCATTTTTAATTGCATGAGGTAAGTAGTTGTCTCACATCCTATATGATTGAACTCCACTGAACAAAGCTCACTATGTGGGCTCAAGGGTGTAAAGATGGAGCGTTAGCACGTGACCACGATCACCCGTGGGAAGGTAGTCGATCCGCAATGCTGATGGGTCACGTATTAGGATGAGACAGCCATTTAATACTTTTCAGTCTTCAATGGTGATCTAGCTGAGATCAATTAGTCATTTTGATACTGCCAATTTAGTAACCACCATATAATCTTGTGATGATTATTCGTAAAAATGTTTACAAATCCGAAAACTAACCATTATTCAAGTGAAGTGTTTCTTAGGGATTCTATTTGAGTTTAGTTTTTATGGCGAAGTGATATATTTTGGAAGGTTACTGTACAGTACCGGACCACCGAATTCAGAACCAGCTATTTAAAAGAATAGTGTTCACCACAAATTCCATCCTATGTGGAGTCATAGGTCTGCGCAGCTGAAAAGCCCAAAACCCCTCACTGAGTTTTAATGGTTAACCGTCTTGCGTCTTTCTGATATACAAAATAATCATCAAGTGTTGAAAGTTAGTACCGGAATGTCAAACGTAACAATACTTATTACATTTGTTTGAGTCAGTTAATTACTGGATTAGTGCTTAGATTTAATATTTTTATTTATGATATACAAGCTAACTGAACATGCTTAGTACGGACCATTTATTGGTGTAATCACATCATTATACTAATTGTAATCTACGATTTGTACATTCATATGTATTTGTTTCGTCTTTTTTTAAATATAAGGAGAATTTCATGACGGTGCGTTTGTTGAAGAATAGAAATTTACTATACCATTGAAAAAGCGCTATTAAATATTCCCTAAAATGCTACATAAACAAAAAAACCAATAATGTTGAAACAGATTAAATTGATGAACCCTTATAAAGCAACTAAAACGTGTATTGAATATAACTAACCTATTTTAACACTTCTAATAACTACATCAATCGATTAATTAACAAAGATTGATAAGATAAAAAACATATTGTAAGTTCACTAATCTTATCCAGTAAACGAGCTATCACTTTTTGAAACTCACATAGCCCTGTAGAATCCATCACATAAAGTAATAATAAAGTATAGGACACCAGAGCTATGGTTGGGCATTTCCGCTAAATTCTTCTTTCTATGAAAATAAGTAGATGTGATGCCACTGTGGTCAAAACTCAAAGAAACTGACTATACTCAGTGAGTGAATAAACGTGAAGTACTGAAATCACCATGAAGAATATAAACTTGGAAGTCATTTTCCAAGTGAAAAAATAGTTTTTCTATTAGTTCATTACAAATTACTTCAGAATACTTGGAATTTGAAAATTTAGAAATTGGTGAGACTACAATTTATGGACGACCTTTGAGCGATGCTAAAGTGGCCTTGAGAATGTTCAACTACTGACTAGGGCTAAATGAGGGTTTTAAACCTATGTGAAGGATAAGGATTGTGATTTAGTTGATGGTTAGGGATAAGGATTAGATCTAGGGTTTTCATCACGAACCGACATCAGATAAATTATCAAGATGCTATTTAGCAAAATGAATAAAGAATTTCGCGCAGAAATCCACGACCTGTTTTCTTAAATCCGATCGGCTAATCCATAAATTATAATTTCACCGTAGATACATAATTAAAGTAATAATAATAAAAGAAAAATCTCGTGGTTGTTTATTCTTACCTAATACAAATACCACTTTCGCTTTTGCTAACTTCTGATCAGTCATCGTTTGTGTACTCTTAAAAATTCCGTTTAATAAAGAATGAGAGTGTACACTCTACCGTGAATCCAATAGCGTACAATAATTTGATTTGTGAAGGTCTATGAAATTCTATTTATTTTATTTTGGTTAATTAATAAACGAATATGTTTGTCTATCAGATTATATTTCATATTCTCTTTGTGATTGGAAGAAATGGAAAAAGACATTCAATTGTATGTTCAGCCCTCTATTTGATTGGTCCATTATCAGGATTTAGTTAGGACGCAAATGAACGAGATCCAATCTTCTCTGAAACTATTCTCCATTAAATTTGTGCGTTACATGATTCATTCTCTATGATTTTAAGTCATTGATGTATCTTATGAATAGGATGAATCCTAAAGAGGATTTATTAATCAAAAGATCTCTGATTAGCCTTTAGTCGTTTAAACGAATTATTACAAATAACAGGGGCTTTGCGAATCAGACTGATCTAGTCATCCTTCTTTTCACTACTAACAAACGATAAACTGTTAGCAAAAAACAGGACTTACTTGACCAGAATAAACACATCGACTGTTTTGATTTATTTTGTAGTAAAGACTAATTCACCAGACATTTCTCATAAGTAGAAATATTTTAGGGCATATTATAAATCAAAATAATTTAATTATATTAATTCGGACGTAGCGCTCTAGTTGCCTGTAAATTCCACTGAAATATTAACATATTTTCTAAAAATCTGTCTAGAAATATAATGACTAGTATATGCGCATACATATACAACTCAATCCTGACAATGCTATCCAGAATAACGAAACTATTTCTAAAAATCTTATTTTTTAATTCAATAATTGAAATAGTAAACCATTAAATCATTGCAGCGAAATTTAGAAAATAAATTCAGTTTTATTCTGTTGAGAGTTCTCTTTATTTACTAATGATGACAAGTTTTATTATTTTAGTGGCCCGTGAATCTGACTCCAATTAGATCGTACGAATGTTTGTTATCACCTATCCTCGTATACAATTATCGACTTCAATCGCGTTAGTCAATAACAGATTTAGATAAGTCAAATAATGAGAATGGACTTTCGAATACATATATTTTGTATATGAAGCGAATAGAGAGAAGAGAAACGACACAGAGTGGAGATGGCCGGTAAACCAACTCCCATTTAGCCAAGTGTTAATCAATATTTATAGTTACACAAAAGTAAGTTACAGACATGTGATGAGTAATGGGATAAGAAATGTATACACACCTACGCTCATATAAAAACAGTCAAGACTGATAAGCGAATAATTCACAAGGTCAAAATATGACTCAAGTAGAATGAATATAATGAGCTGTCCGAAAGTTAGAATGAAGTATATGGGCTTAACATAATAACTGACACTACAATATCCATGGGTTATAATTATTTCATGATGATCGTCAAGATATTGACCAGTACACAAGCAAGACCTAAATATATCATTATTCATTGTAGCAGGAAATATTTATTTTCAGAGAGGGGTTTTGTGGATATTATAGTAATTTAATAATTGAATTCATGAGTCAGTTGAAGCCAGACCACCATGGAAAACCTGAAAGCACTGAACGGCCGTTTCGTCCTAGAGTGGGACTTCTCAGGAGTGCCCATCGACGGCCATTCAGTGCTCATGACTCATGAATTCAACTATTAAAGTATTTATATGTTCAAGTAGAATTTTATCATTTCGTGATCATGTGTTTATCTCTACAGAAATATAATGCGATCTTGAATTTATTCATTGAAGTAGTGTTGAATTGATTGGACTTTACTGAAATATTACATATTTATAGTCATAACCATGAATTGCAACAGTAGTAGGTTTTTTTAAAACTCTTTCAGGTGATATTTCAACAATTAAATTTGTATAATTATAATGCCAGTATGAGATGAGTGCACGATTCGATCAACAAATAAGCATTATGAATTTTTTTTTCTAAAATTAAGACAATATTGATGACAAATAGAATGAACGAAACGACCGTCCAGTGCTTCCAGGTTTTCCATGGTGGTCTAGCTTCAACTGACTCATGATTTCAATCTGTGGAAATAGAATAAACGTTATACGAAAACTTATATTTAGAAATAAAATGGAACCAGTTTTCAAAAAGAAATCTCGGGATTTTGTCAAAATATTTGTTTGAACTTTCATATAGAATAAAAGTCAATGAAATTTACCAGACCACATTACTTTTAAAATGGATCGTATTGTAATCACATCATAATATTAAGCAAGACTTAGTGCTGATTGTTTATTCTGAAATCACTAGTTTTACATTGAGTGAAATATTGCTTTAGGTATGTTTTTGACTTACTGATACCTACACTTATGCCATCAAAATGACAAGGGAAATAGTTTCTATGAACGAAGTATTTCTTCTATAATTTAGTGACAGATAGAAGGATAGTTTTCTTCACTGACCTAGTTTACCTCATCTTTATGTCTCATAGTTAAGTGAATGGATTTCAACGATTTTATAACACCTCGACGTTCACATTCATCAAGTTATACTTTACTTCTGTTGTATATTTGAATGCTACAAATCTTTTAATGATTAAACTAGAAAATACTTTCAGTCAATTTTTTTAAACAGTATCAGCTTACAAAATAACTGCTGAACATGTAACAAATAAGCGGAAGTTGATATGAATATTTAAGGAAGACTTCAAACTTCTGTCTAATTGAAGTAATTTTTTACTTAAAGTAACCCATTGTGTCATTGAATAAAGATAACGAGAATTCAGTGGAGAAAATTTTCTTTTCGATGAAATCATTTACTTAAACTGTACATTTGTATTTATTAGTTATGTGGAACATATATGTCTATAGAAGGATGGAAAAGATTGCATCATAAATTGATTCGAGACTCTTATTATCAGATGAAGTTACGTAATAATCAAGAGGTAAGAGAAGGCTGGAAATAATTTACGGGTCTGAATTATGAGATAATTGTCCAATTAACAGATATGAAGAAAACCGACAAACATAAAGGTCATAATAATAATAACTGAATAATCAAGAAAACGTGTTTAAAGGTAATAATAACTGATTACAGTTTAAAATTACAAAACACTAATTTAACAAATCAATAATAATAATTTAGAAAGTGTCGAAACATACTACAAAGGGTCAAGTGAGGATGAGAGGTTGGACGTATCGTTTTTGCACACAAAGTTCGGGCTTGAATTGGTGGTTTGCCAATACCTTAGCAGTGCATAAGATTTTGATTCGATTTCCATACGATCCAATTCCTTTGACTGTGTAGATTATTTTAAAAGAAGACTCCTTTGGAGCGATGTGTCAATAGTTGATTAAATGCTTCTGTGTTGAACTAGTAATTGTTTTGCATTCTCCTTTTAAAAGCCATGCTGGGTAGCGTTCTGAGATGCTTTTAGGTGATCGTTTTATGTGGCCAATGTAATCTGCACATTCATTATTATTATTATTGATTTGTCGAATTAATGTTTATTATTACCTTTGAACGCGTTTTCATGATTACTATTCGGTTCTTATTATTATGACCTTTATGTTTATCGGTTTTCTTCATATCTGTTAATTGGACAATTATCTCATAATTCAGACCCGTAAATTATTTCCAGCCTTTTCTTACCTCTTGATTATTACGTAACTTCATCTGATAATAAGAGTCTCGAATCAATTCATGATGCAATCTTTTCCATCCTTCTATAGACATATATGTTCCACATAACTATAAATACAAATGTACAGTTTAAGTAAATGATTTCGTCGAAAAGAAAATTTTCTCCACTGAATTCCCTTTATTTTTATTTTCTTTACTACCAATCGTTTGCACAACAACATCAAATCACTAGCTATCACATCATATCATTTTTGTTGTTTATCTGAAACAGATGATTAAACTAAAATCTATGATGACCTCTTGTGTACTAAACCCTATGATGAACAACCACGATGAAAAACTGAACGGAGGTTGTTTCTGATTTTTGGATTAGAGGGTTGGACACAACAAGTTACTGCAATGAATTTACAACAATGCTTAGCTGCCTCTTTATTGTCATTTTACGACGTAGTTTTAACGTTACGGTCTGGTAATTTTAGGCTTGATTACGATATATGGTCATCTTATAAGGTGACAATTAGACAATCATTGAAGGCCAGGATCCCCTACACATTTTATTGAGTTTAGATTGAGGCTTGTTAGCAAAGTACACGAACGATATATGATTGAGTTGAACCCAATATCTTCAAACCACTGCATCGGGATCTAATAGTCTGTCTTTTTAAATATAATCCGTTATTGGGCTAACGTTATGTGCACCTTTTAATTTTCATATAAAAATGTCTTAACAAGCATATGTGCGATCAGACTGTTCGAAATGTATTGCGCAAATATATCACATAATTCTGATAAACTTCGTCTTCTCATTGCATTATCGAAATTGATCAAAGGGATTAATTGTTATCAATATCAATATCAACAAAAATACCTTCATAGTGATCATATTATTTGTTATTTATTCAAGCTTTAAACACCTTTACAGTGGATGATAAATACAACTATAAAGTTATTATGCATTGGGATAACCTAAATTTTTCACACCTCAAAAAATGCAACATTATCAAAAGATTTAATAAATACAAGCACTTTAATTTTATTTGAATACTATATGAAAGAACGATCAAAACAAACTGAAAATGCGATAGTACATATATCGATTTCCTAAACATCAGAACCAGTGTAATAGACAGTTGACACTAAATTACTTTGTATGCCCTAACTGTGAATCGACACACTTACATGTTAGGTAAGCTGACTAAATGATATCACCTGAATACAAATTATTTGACTATGTACAGACATGCAAAGCATCCTACTTTTCAAAACAATAAAATATCTTAACAACTTTTGCGTTTATAAAAGTAGTTGTCTTTTGTTAACACTAAGTGAATATTTTCTGAAAATATTTTACAGTAAATAGCACTCAAATATTTTATGCACTCGGACA